CGTTGCCTGCGAGCGTGCTGATTACGACGACTGTGCCTATTAATAAGGAGACGCTTGGGGAGGCGCCGTATTTGTGAGTTTTTGGGTTGTTTTCTCTTTGAGTTTGTTCGGATTGGGGGTTGGGTAGGGTTGGGTTGTTGTGATCGACGGTAGAGAGGGAGGCGTGCGAGTGTAGTTGGGAGGAGTGGAGGAGAGGACCTCAGCGGGAAGGGGGCTATTGCTTCTGAGAGTGATCAAGCGAGTGGCTGGACGGGTAATCTGCTGAAGAATCGAGTGATTCTATCTGCTAGACTAGGAGGTCAGGAGGGTTTGATATGTCGCGCAGAGCTGATGACTTTGGAAGTTTTCCCTCGAAGACTCCTATGAGACAAGTGTCTACTGGAGCTGGGAAACGACCATTACCAATCTGCCTAGATTGCTGCGCTTGAAATCAAACTCGATATGGCTGGTTCGAAGGCGAGTGAGAACTGACAACATGGATGACGCAGAAAGTGTATCATCACAGAGACGGTGGGAACGGATCACATCGATCTAGAAGAATGCAGACGTCGCGGCGTGACCGTGATCTACTCACCCAACGCGACAGTCGAAGCCGTCTCCGAGCACGCCCTCGGTTTGGTAAGTCCTTCCGCTCTCCAAATTGAGATGAATCCTCAACATCTCAAGTCATGAGCCATCATCGACTAGAGGTGGAAAGAGAGAGAAAGTTGTTCACTGACCTTGAGCGCGGGGGAAAATTCCAGTACTTCTCATCCCGCCGACGCTTCGTAACGCTCCACAATACGATGATGGACCACGCCGAGGGCCGCTCGAACCCCTGGCGCACAAAGGGGAGCATGTCCTCCCTCCTCCTCGACAGCGAGGGCCGCCCGCCGCATACTTGCGGTAACGAGGTGGTGGGGATGATCGGCTACGGGCCCATAGGGCAGCGCGTCGCCAAGATGTGTCGAGCGCTGGGGATGGAGGTCCTCGTCGCCGCGAGGAAGAAAAATACCGCGCCAGTTGTGAACGGTAACGGGGTCACTGCCACTGCCGCCACCGCCGCCGTCTCTGCTCAGCCGAATGGCAACGGAGACACCCACCGCACGCCCTTCGCAGAGGTCATCCGTCGCGCGACGACGCTCTTCCTCATCGTACCCCTCACGGCAGAAACCAGGAACCTCATCGGCGAGGCCGAGATGGCGATGATGAGACCCGACGCCGTGATTATCAACGTCGGGCGTGGTGGGACCGTCAATGAGGCTGCGCTGGTGGCGGCGTTGCGGGAGGGTAGGATCTCGGGGGCGGCGACAGATGTTTACGAGATTGAACCAGCGGGGAGCGGGCGGGATAGCGTGTTGTTGGGAGAAGAGGCCAAGGGTCTGAACTTGACGCTGACGCCGCATTTGGCGTGGTGCGCTGATCAGACGAGGGTGAATATTCGGAGGGTGGTGGGAGAGAATGTGAGGTTGTTTTTTGGGGGTGGGAAGGGGAGTAATGTTGTGCTTGATATGCGGTGAAGAACTTGGATTATTCGGGTCGAGGAAATTGGACATGTCCATCTCATAGAAGGTGGATGATTTTGGTTCAAATAGTATCTTGACGTCTGAGTAGATGTCGGTGAGATTGAGTTTAAGCCAGAAGACTGATGAGGTTATTCTCACCGGAGATCCTAAGCTTCCACCCCAGATTGACGCGCCCGCTCGCTGCAACACCCCACACTTTGCCCCTTTTAAATGCCCGAAGACGACCTCGCGTCTCATTGGTGCTTTAGACTGCTTCCAAGTGATGCCAAGACATCTGTTTGATCTCCGGCGAGCCTCGAAGGTTAATCGAGTAATATTCGATCTCAATTATCAGCCTCCATGAGAAAATCCCGTATGCTTAAGCCTGGGCCATCAACTAGATCGGCCCAACCCAGATATAGTGAGTGGGAGGTAGAAGAGCCGAGAGCATCCTCGACGAGAGCTCAAGAGCAAAATATGCAAACAATGAACAGCTAGAATCAAGAACAATCATCCCGAGAGTTATCGCGCCGTGCAAGCCTCACTTCGCTCATTTGTCGTACCAAGCTCCGGGTGACGTTGCAAGTAAAGTGTCTAGCAACGACGCGACTCACGCGAGCCTGATCTCTCAAAAATCGTTTGAGCTTTGTTATGCTTGAAACATCTAAACTTCTCCCACTTGTGCCGCCCGCCGTGCCCACAGTGACACAATTTCAGCGAGATTTGCTTCTTCTTTTTTTTTTTCTTTCCCCGCAACTCGACCTAAGCAACAATCTCTCACAAACATGCAAGAGCCTGCAATTCACGGATTCTTAGAGAGCGTCGTCATCAGAACAGCTCAGTAAAATGACATGACATGTCGTCTCAGCCACAGTGATGCGTTCACCCGTTCGGTGAGTGAGTGAGTGAGTGAGTGAGTGAACGGCATCGTTCGCCGTGTGCTGGAAATGCAGGACGCGGGAGTCCCCACTGATCGCCTTTAATTTCCTCAACCCCTGGGCTCTGCTCTGGGCTGAGCTGAGCTCAGCTGTCCGGATGAAACGTCAGCTGCTTCCGAGCGTCTTACCTCGAGTAGGGACATCGACTGAATGAGCCTCTGTGTCCATATGTGAACGGCGGGCTGCAGCTTTGCCCATCTACTTGATGTGCTGGTTCGTCTGATGAACTCTCATATTGAGTTCTCAGAGACATGAGATGTGGGTGAGTGGAGGTCTGTCATGTTATAAAAACAACAGAACACGCAGCAGCTGCCAAGACAGCGCCGCGGGATCCACCGCGGGAAATGTCAGATTGTGTGGGGATTTAGGACGATGGGTAAGGGGTGCCAGCAGAAACTCTCACTCAAGAGAGCCAAGCCTTTCTCGTTCTCCCATGTTGATGACTTGGCATCGAACAAGCTCTCGACGTCAGTCAGGCAACGTCGATTCTCGAATGGCCTCTTGAGTTGAGGTGAATGGGTCTGTTTGATGGAAATAGAAATCCAAAAGGTCTAGAACCCGATTCCGAGCGGGAGACTGGGATGCTTCCCGCCCCGCCGGGACGGGTGCCGCGCGCTCAGGGGCCGGCCGGTCTCCAGGCGCTCGTAATGCGTTCGTTTGTTCGAAACGCGAGCCCCAGAAGCAATTTACATTGGACATACGCTACCATCCACAAAGAAGACCAGATCAAGATGAAGGGAAACAAACTCCAGGGATGGGTCGACTTTGAGCAATCTATATATGAACTTGCCGCGACTTTCCCTTTTTCCTCCGAAAGTCTTTTTTTGATCTTGCTCTCCATTCTCAAACACCACCGTTCATTCGTGCTTCAATTCTTTGCAACTCCTTGGGCTGGACTCGGATAACTTTCGTTTACAACACAACCAAAAGACAAATCACACTCGTTCTTACCCATTTTCCGAACTTCAACGCCTCAAGATGCAGCTCTCCGCCCTCTTCCTGCTCGCCCCCGCCCTCGTGGCCGCGACCCTCGACCCGGCCACCTCCAACACCAAGGGCAAGTGTCCCTCGAGCTACAACTGCAGCGCCACAAAGGTCTCCAAGGCCATCCAGGCCGCCGAGTGCTCCCACAACACCCGCACCAGCAAGACTCAGACGTTCGCCGTCTTCGAGACGGACCACCAGTACGACGGCAACAACGGGTACCCCTACGGGACCTGCTCCGCGTACACCTGCGATTCCCCCACCGAGATGATCACCGATGAAGACTGCTGGACCTTCTTCTGGAGGTGAGTTGAGAAAACAAAATGATCCAGTGATGGTTTGGTTTTTACTAGAATGGACTGACGGCTGACGGGTTTACGAACTATAGCGGCACCGGCGAAGAGGACGGTGTTGGCACCGGCTGCATCAAGGACCCCAACACGGGCGTCTGCGGCTGCGAGAACTCTGACGGAACCTTCATCTCCGGCGCCAGCGACTGCACGTAAAGAACGTCTGACTCATAGAAGACATTTTGTGGTGGTTGATAGGAGATATGGTCATGCTTGACATGAGCCAACGATGTGTGCTTTTCATGTACATATACGTCACAAAAATAACATTTTGTACAAAAATGACTACAAATTCACTTACCACGTGGCCTAGATGGGGCGTGGTCAACATCATCCCGGCGCAAAGTTTGCTGCTCTATAACGCTAATTATATCATTCTCCATGTTGGTTGAGACCCAGGTCTCGTTGTGGCCCGAGCCATCCTCTTTTCGAAATGAGGCTGAACCTAAATGACCTTTTGACTTTTATCCCGCATCTTGAAGCCATCTAATGATGTAATCAGTCATCTGTCATTGGTAGTCGCGAAATTTGCATTCAAACATAGAGCTAGGTCTCGACATAGTCTCCCAGATCGAAGCGAAACACTCACCACCTGTCAGCCTAGTCTGCTGGTATACATGCTCAATGATCTGAGCTCAATATCCATACCTCTACATCGATATCCTTTCGTCCCCATTATTCATCTCATATGTATTGTATCTTGGTTGCCTGATGCGGGGCTGTCAGTCTAAACTTGATTACACCGCCAGGCAGTGATCGATGTTGGGCAGCGCCGTCACTTTTCTCGCTGCCATTTTGTGCAAATTTTCACTTTTCCCAACTCATTGATATATAATGACATATTAGTGAGTCCATGGATATCCTGGGAGTGAGATGGAAGATTGATGCAAAGAGCCGACTGTCCTTGACAGGCTGAACCGCCTCGCTTCTCGGCGGAAAACTTCTAACCCGCAATCAGCCATCGCGGCCACACTGTGTTGCAGAATTGCTGCATCCCACTCTCAGAAACGCTTTGATCTGATACGTGGACTGGATCCCTGTTTGGGGACCATCAACCGAAAATGGTAGACAACCAAGGATCTGTATGCAGATTCCGTGTTGGTTGGACCAACAACACTGTCCAAGGCCAAGAAGAGGGGTAATCAGGCTCGACTGTCTCTTTGTCTTTCAAAACTCTCGAGCTTTCATGAGAGTAGTGTTCGACGAGCTTTGGTTGAATTCCTGTGGTCGTTAAACTTTGCAAAATGTGTGCGGATAACAACACGAACGCGGTGGCTCAACCCTCAACGGCGGCGACTCAGGCAACGCAATCGAACAACACGACCGATCATGAGGTTATGATCGTTGCTGAAGACCACGACGAGAGCGACGCTGCATCAAATCTTGGCAGCGTGAGTAACAAACTGTTTGACTTCTCATCTTTATTGGTACTGACTGGTTGAACCAGACCGTCGCATCCTCGAGTACGAGTGTCAGCAGTTCTATCCTAGAATATAGAATGGAAAACGGGAGAACGTATCACGCATACAAAGACGGCAGTAAGTTGGAATCTACAGTCCACTTAAGCACATGTTGTTATTATTCTCTGAAATTGACTCATGTGCTCATCAGAATACTTCTTTCCGAACGACGAAAGAGAGAATGATCGGCTTGGTAAGGCCACCGCGATTGAATTCAAGACCTACGATGTTGACCTTCTGCTACTATGGTAGACCTCCAGCACAACCTCTTCATCTTGACCTTTGATAACAAGCTCGCGACCGCGCCACCCAATGATCCAGGATCGAAGGTCGGCAATGTTCTCGACGTTGGGACTGGTAGCGGTATCTGGGCCATTGACTTTGGAGAAGAGCACCCTGATGCTGAGGTTTGCGGAGTCGATCTTTCAGCTGTTCAGCCTGAGTTGTGCGTGAACAGTGATATCCAGGGCCCAGATTTGACGGGATACTACAGGCTAACGCGAGTATCTAGTGTGCCACCAAATGTCAAGTTTGAAATAGACGATATCGACCAACCTTGGACATTCTCGAAACCATTTGACTACATTCATAGTCGGATGATGAATTCGTCCATCAAAGACTGGAAGGCCTACATCCAGACGTGCTTTGAGTGAGTAGCAAAATTCTCTTCTTTGGAATACGAAGCGAACATAAAGTCATCAGATGGCTAAAGGTAGACTGCAGTAATCTGAGTCCCGGAGGCTGCTTGGAGCTGATAGAATTCGATGCCGTGCCAACGTCAGATGATGGCACTCTGAAGCCTGACTCTGCGATAACGAAGTCGGCTACTTTGCTTTTCGACGCGGCAGCCATTATTGGTCGACCATTCGAAGACATTAGCAGGATGAAGGATGTCCTGATTGAGACCGGGTTCGAGGACGTCCACAAACAGCTCTACAAGTGGCCGACAAACTCGTGGCCCAAGGACCCGAAGTACAAGGAGTTGGGGATCTGGAATCATGAGAATGCCATCGCTGGCTGGGAGGGCTTCTGCATGGCTCCGTGCACTCGGATCCACGGCTGGAGCAGGGAAGAAGTTCTCGTTCTTATGGCAGAGGCCCGGAAAGAGTTCAAGGACAGGACGATCCACGCATACTTCAACATGTGAGCCTGTTGAATTCCGTCTTCAGGTCGCAATTACTAACTGCGTCTCAGCTGGTCCATCTACGGAAGGAAGCCCCTCGCTTCTGGACCCTCGATTTAGTCTATGAATGTCGGTTTGGTTGACTCGACAGGGGTTTTCGATCAGCGAGGGGTGAGCGGGAAGTCAAAGGGGTAGATTCACAAAACAGCTTCGGCTCTAATGACAGGGTATGAGTGAATTCCACGGCAATATTCACAGTGAAAGATGGAGAGGACTTAGCACGACAGTAGCTAAAACAATTGACTTGCTTTACTTAAACTCATGATGTAAGATATTGAGAGACTCGGTAGACGAGAGCATGCCCCACTTCCTCCGACTATCATCTGTTCTCGATGTACCAGACTAGCCATGCTAGACCGAAGTTTGTGACTGGAAGCCAATAAGGCATATCAGCTCGCATCTGACTCCAGTACCCAGAAGACGTCAGAAAGCATCCAAGGAACAGGGCAAAGATCCCCCCTCGAGTTTGTGGCAGCACGAGTAAGATGCCTTCTGCGACCATCAGAGCTCCGATGTATTGCATATGAAGCTTGATTGTGCGTTGATCAGTGAACGGGTAGAGTGGATGGAGGTGGGGCGCCGTTTTCTGAGACTTTCGATAGATTCTCTCATGAAGCGTCTTGAATGGCCAAGGACCGAGCCTAGGAATGCCGCCGACGAAGTATTCGAACGCGAGAATGATGCGAGGGATGGCGAGGAGAATGGAGGCCATGATCAAGGATATTACGGCGGTAAGGTAGATAATGATGCCTTTCCTCAGAGAATGCGTAAAGGGAGCTCTTGAGTCAAATCATGCGACTAGGATTCAGATGATAATATCTAAGAGGCGGGGTGAATAGGGATACCTATCCTGGGGCGTCCGGGGAAATGATTGTGTTCAAAAGTCGTTCAACGTTGATGATGTAATGGTGGCGCTCACCACTCAAGTTGTGAGACATAACTACTGCACGTGAGCGTAATGGCCTAGTTCCGAGATCAAGAACAATAACAACAAATCGAATGAATTCGTGCCTAGTATTGAATCCCAATATGTTTTGAATAACTGAAAGTTGGTCTTTGGAGATATTATGGCTTGATCATTCAACTATCTGGAAATTACTTCTGCACTTTCGCGATCTCCGCCATTGTTTCTGTAGCTCCCCGGGCCAATATCGCAGAGTCTTGTCCTCCAAGGAGAAAGCGGACGCCTAGCTCGTTAATAGCCCAGTCATGCAACCCATGGTTGTTGTAGATACCGGCTAAGCCCATGATCTTGCCGTGTTTTTTACATGCCCGGCTTACGATCTCCATAGCTTCCCGGAAGACTGGACTTTGGAATTGGCTCGGCGCGCCTAATTCAATGGCGAGGTCATTTGACCCGACGAGGAGAACATCGGCGCCTTCGACGGAAGCAATCTCATCGATATTTTCAATGCTCTCCTTCGTCTCAATCATCAGGAATACAGTTGAACCGTTGGCGTTCGTCTCCAAGATTATGGTGCTCTGTGGCACAGCCTTCAACGAGAATGCGGGCAGTTGGCCAGTGATGGACCTCTTTCCTTGGGGCGGATATTTGCATATCGAGACGGCGGCCATGGCATCAACTTCAAGTAATTGTAAGCTCTTCTTGCCCACCGAACGGACACGGAAGCCCAGGTAGGACTTTCTTGTGGGGCTTACCGCGGCTGTGGATGTGAGGAAATACAACTCCCATTGCTCCTCCATCGAGAACCTTTTGAACAAAACCATTGCCGCACTGGTAAGGTACCCTGACGAAGGGCGTCATACCCAGTTGAAGACCAACGATGCAGTGCTGACTGGCCTCATGAATGGACAACGTCGAATGCTCGAGATCAATGAAGATAGCATCAAACCCTCCATTTGCCGCCAAATGGACAATTTGTGTATTCGCCACAAGGCGAATGCCCATTGCCTACATTGTTATGTCAGTAAGGCGAGTCATATTGTGGCTTTCTTCTAGATTAGAAGCATACCGTGCATAGCTTTCCCGACGCGCTTAGGCGAGTCAAGCTGTTGGATAGGAGAAAAGCCATTTTAGATGGATAAAAAATTACTGATTTGTCAACGTGCAGCACTTCATCATGAGGCATCATCTAGATGTTATTTACTATTCATTGCTCCCTTGGGCCGAGGATAGTCTCAGCTTACTTGTTCATGGTTCGGGTCCTCTTCCCGCCAATCTGATCGATTCGGCCAGTCTTCCCGATGGCGTGCAAGTGCCAAGTGGAGACTCGGCAGCCCGCGCCGTCGCCAAATCGGCGAGGGATGCAGATTAGCCGGAGCATCTGAGCCGTCATTTTCTCGCCGGTATTTGAGTGGTCAATCCAAAAGAGCGCGAGAAGTCTCGGAGTCTTTGCTTCGCAAAAGTCTGTAGACTTGCTTCATTCCAGCTTTGCCACAATGTTTGGACACGTACAGCCCGGTCCTCCGGACCCCATGTTCACCCTCAAAAGAGATGCAGACAACGACACAAGCCCAGAAAAGGTCGACTTGGGTGTTGGTATATACCGTAGCGAAGAGGGTAGTTACCAAGAGCTGGAAGCTGTCAAAAAGGTAGTGTCTAAATTTCTTCTACAATACCAGTCACAACGACGGGCAAATTTGGAGTAAGAACTGATCATAACGTAGGCCAAACTGAGACTAGACGAGTTGAACTTAGGGCATGATGTAAGACTTTTGAAAATGTCGTTTTGGAAAGTAGGCTGAGAGCTTTTTCTAGTATGAGTTGACAGTAGGAGATGCGGATTTTCTCCGACTTGCCGCCGCAGTTATGTTTGGCGCGCACAGCGATGCCCTTCAAACTGGCAGGGTATGTGGTTGACATGATAGTCCCTCGGTCAAAAACACTAAACTTCGACATCCAGGTTTCTTCAGTTCAGACTATTTCGGGGACAGGGGCCAACTCCCTGGGAGCCCTCTTCATTTCCAAAGTTATGGAGCCGAAACCTAGAGTCTACATTGGAGTTCCCACCTGGGGAAACCACATCCCAATTTTCCAGGATGCTGGTTTGGAAACTACCACATACCCCTATCTTGATGCGTCACAACATGCCGTCGACTTCACCGCCCTCCTCGATGCTGTACGATCGGCCGCGCAAGGCAGTATTTTCGTGTTGCAAGGTTGCTGCCATAATCCTACCGGTGTCGATCTAAGCCTTAGCCAATGGGAGGAATTGGCTCGTGAGATGGAACAGTACGGGCACTTGCCGTTCTTTGATACAGCGTATCAGGGTCTGGGTGACGGGCTTGACGAAGATGCCTCAGGTGTACGCATATTCATGAACGCGGGGATTGAGATGTTGGTTTGTCAGTCATTCTCAAAGAACTTCGCATTGTATGGGGAGCGGTGTGGCGCCCTCCATTTCGTTAGCAACTCGCAGAAAGTGGCCGCGAATGTACAAGATAGACTTCGAAGTCTGATCAGGCACACGTACTCATCAGCTCCGGCCTATGGTAGCCGTCTTGTCAAGATCGTACTCAATGATGCTGACTTGCGGAAAGAGTGGTAAGTCGGTGTCCAAGGAGTTCATGTTTCTCGCCCGCTAACAACCGGCTTTAGGACTTCAGAGACCGATGGCATGAGAAAACGTCTGAAGAGAAATCGCCAAGCTCTGTACGACGAGCTTGCGATACGCCTCAAGGTACTTTGTTCCGAAAGTAGGCATATGTGCCAGGATTGACTTTAAGTAGACACCCGGAGATTGGTCATATCTGGTGAAAGAAAAGGGGCTTTTCTCGTCAGTAGTTCTATGTTCTTAATGATGCATGGCTACATTGCTAATGTCGTGTATAGATGCCTGGCGCTGTCACCATCCCAGTGCAGGGAGCTTGTTGAGGCGTATCATGTTCATCTCCCAGGATCCGGAAGGATCAATCTTGCTGGTTTGAGCGAAGAAAATGTGAAGCGCGCAGCACAGGCCATTGACAGGGTCACCAGGACACATGTGAATGGGAAGCTCTGAGTCTGCCATAGGTTCAGAGAGGTTCTAGAGAATAGGTGACTGTACCACTTGGTGCACGATTCTGTACTACCTCTTCTTTTATTTACTTAGATGACAACCACGACGTACAAGTACAATAAGTAGAAACTCCTAGTAAATTTAGGGAAGCTCAACCTCGATCAGACTCTCAACGCCTTTGCCACCACCCCAAATCTTGACAATCTTCAGTCCTGCAATTGTCTCCAATAAGTGATACCAGTCACCCTCAGTACGCTCCTTTGAGCAAAAAAGCGTCAGCATGACCATGTCGAGAGCCGATGTCTCCCACCATGCTCCTGTAGAAGGGATGACATTCTCATTGATCAACAACTTGCTGTACCCAGGCTTCATAGCAGCCTTGATCTGCTTCAGGATAGTCTCGCAGACGTTATCCGGCCAGTCATGCAGACATGAGTGCATGTAGTAGGCGCGAGCTCCCTTCACGGGCTGCTCTGTTAGAAAGTCATGGCCCATTGGTGTGATTGTTGGCGTAAGCTCTTGGATCTGGCTAATAACGACTGGGAGATCCTGCAGGATCAGCTTGCCTGGCGCCTCAGGGAAGTACGAGTGGAACTCAGCCAAGTCATGACCGATGCTGCCGCCAATGTCCACCAAGAAGGGCGCGTCGGCGTCCGTGCTAGCGCCCTCGATAAGTCTCTCCTTGACGGGGAAAAATTCGGGGGCCATCCAAGGATTACGACCCTGGCGGTAGCCGGACATGTGGTGGTTGAAGTGAGTACCGTCTATGTAGATTACATGTTAGTGCCCATATGTCACCAAGGGATGTTGGTAATTGTACTTACATCCAAGGTCCTGCTGCCATGCAAACATATCCTTGTCAGTGTTGTATGCATACATCATAGGTGTGTCCTTGGCATCAGTGGGGTTCTTGAAGCCCCTCTTGCGAGAGTACTCGTGGAATCTCAAGGGCCCAGCGCCAGTACAAGATGTCCTTGAGTTTTTAAAAAGTCAGCAAAAGAACTAACAACATGCAACAGGGTATCTCGATATGTAAGGGTAAAGAGCCCGAAGAGGAGGTAGATAGTTCGACTGACATTGCGATGTATCCATCTCCAATCATGGGAAGGCTTAACGACTTCGAGAAGTTGGTAGGTTGGTACTCATCGAGGCTTGTTTCCTTGATGTAGCCCATTGCGCCAAGATGGCGCATGAGACGACCTAAACAAAAATGTGAGCCATGTGAGCAGCGCAAGAAGGGGGCTCATTTTGCTGAGTAGCTTACTCAGTAGAGCCGGATCTACACCGAGAGCTTCGGCAAGCTCCTTCACCGTTTGTGGCCTATCACCGTTCTTGGCCATAAGTCTCCAAAGCCCTGTATCGACGCCGAAATTGATGCCGGCAATTGCACCGGTCTTTGATGGAAGTCAGTTATGACGAGTAACATGCATAACAACTGATGTGACCAGCGGAACACCTACCCGTGCCCAGCAGTGCTTGATCATGGTCTCTCTTGGAGCCTCGAGAGCTTGGACTATGGAACGAGCCTTGAGAAGTAGCTCGTGACGCGCATGATTGTCATCGGCAGACAAAGAGGCAATATTTTCGTTGAGGTCCTTGAGAAGACCAGGGACGGCTCCCAGGTCGTTCGGACGGGTGGCGATCGCCGCATCAACAACGGTGAACCCTTTGGCGCCGATGGTACCGTTTGTGGAAGACATTATTGAATATACAGACGGATTAGAAGTGCAGTGAATGGTGAATGAGTGAGATCTTAGCTGTCAACTGGCATGGCACTTTCAGGATGTGTACTTATAATATGCCTCCCATGAACTTTAGCGGGGTTTTTGCTGAAATCAGACGGGGGGGACAAGACACAATCAAGATGAAGAGTTTCTCCACGTTAAGCAGTTTCTTCTCTTCAAGAAACCAGCGATCTTTTTGCGGCGTTTCTGGAAAGAGAGTCAGGGGGAAACAAGGGCGGCGGAACGGGCGTTAATCTCTCCAGTACAGAACTCGGAGAATACTTGTCAAGTGCCAAGCACATTTCACCCGCTGAAGGTGTTTGGCCGAGCCAGACGAGGCCTCTCTCCTGACTCCGTATCGCAATCTATGTCACTGTGACAGTCTTTCCAAGCGCAAGCTCGCAAAAGGCCGACTCACTGGTACAGTACCCCGGCGCATGTGACCGGGGCCCCGAGTCACCGGCCCCACCGGGAGGAACGTCCCGGACCAGGTTGTTCTGGCACCTGGACAAATCTTTGTTGGTTCAGTATGCGCCAACCCAACTTTTATTGTAAGCCAGAGTTGCGGCATATCAGCACCCTAGTAGCTGTATTGGTCAGCCCTCATATACGTACGTCAAATCGGCGCCGAGCGGCCTGCGTCCAGCAGTTGGTTTTGTCCTGCATTTGGGAGTTACCATACAAAGTCTAAGCCTGCATATCTCGAGCACAAAGAATGGACCTGAGACTGCACGCCACTATCTCAGCTTCCCGACGCAAGGGTTTCTGATTCTTGGCAGTTGGTACTCAGCCAGGGTCTTCACATAAACGAGGCAGCTTCACGCCAACGAACATCCCATATTCCGCTTTCATCCGCTGACTTGGGGTCCCGCCTGGACCAAAGCAACGGGCCAAGATTGCTTCCAAGCGCCAAGGTGATGGGACTGCGTCCAACAAAGAGATTATATCCAACTTTGGACATGATCCTCTGTTGCAGTGCAACTACCATGGGCAAGGAAGCCACGCGGCCCATGCCGAACCATTCCCGCCGTCTCAACAAGAACCCAAGAAGCTGTACGGATACTCCGTAGATGTATACGCAATAAGATGATTTCTTTCCTCATGCATGTTGCAACTTTGGAGCAGCCCCCTGGCATGTCGTTCTTATTGTTGTAGAGAATTAGTTACTTTTTGCGCCTTCGGCGTCGCAACCTGTCTGCTGGCCGACTTTTTCTTTCGTCAACGGAACCCGAGTTCTTCGGGGACGGCCCGGGTGGGATGTGGGATTCCCTCCAAAATGAGCGAAGCTACAGAACAGTAATCAATACAGAGCGATGGATTTGAGCTGAAAGTTTAAACTTCTTCCTGAACTGGAGTCTGAACACGAGTTGACTCCGCCTTCGACCAGCGGCCTGACACACGACAACCCCTGACTATTATCCTGATACCTAGATAGAGGCTTGGGCAAGATCTGCAATGCTACAATTCTTCGGCCAGTTGACCTTGGGTTTTGGGTTGACGTTGAAGAGATGTTCTGCCAGCAGTCGGGCCGCAGCTTGCTTTGCATTTATTGCGCAGCAATCTGGCTGCGAATCCATCAAACCTGTCCTATTGCTTAAGGCATAGTTACATGCGTGCGAAATCATCAACTTATTGCCTCCTGCAACTTCAAAATGTCGGCTTCGCCAGCGGAGGAATCAGATGCGTGGAAGGCCCAGGACAAGGGACCAACGATTGTTATCGTCTGCTGGGTCGTGACGGCCATCAGCACAAGCTTCGTTATTGGCCGTGTCTATGTAAGAGGGAAAATAATGAAGAAGTTCCAAAGCGACGATTGGTTCATCGTCCTAGGACAGGTATGTTTCTCATCTTGGAGATTTTCTGTCGAGAATAAGTCTTCCTGTATTATCTTTTTGCATACCAACTTGATCTAACTTATGGTATCGTCCAGTTCTGCGGTTACATCTCAACGGCCCTATCTACAATCGCGGTAACCTACGGTAATGGGAGACATATGTCTCTCTTGTCGATCGAGCAACAGGAGGGCGCCATCCTCTGGACAACAGCAGCCTTCTGTCCTGGCATCATGTCTTTTGGTCTCCCTAAACTAGCCGTTGTCTCTTTACTGGTGCGATTGATGAACCCTGGCAGATATCACAAGTGGTTCTTATGGTGGATGGGAATTTGGTGCCAATTAACGTTATTCGTAACGGCCGGTCTATTACTTGGACGCTGTACGCCGGCCAGGTCGTTGTGGGATTTCTCGGTCAAGGGAACATGCTTTGACGTCAATATCCTAGTGGCCTATTGCATTTACGCAGGATGTAAGAACAAAGTCATCCCCAATTAGAACCTTCTACTTGTTGCTGACACTGTTCCGCTGCTCAGCTTTCTCGGCTTTCGTCGATGTTTATCTCGCCGTATACCCGGCAATAATTCTCTTCGGTCTCCAAATGGCCACCAAGAAGAAGATCGCGCTGTCATGTGCGCTGGGTATTGGTTCAATGTAAGAGAGCCCACCCTTTTGGGCAATTGCTAGCTTTCATGAGTCATGCGACTAACAACTTGGGAGTTCTGGTGTCGTTGCTATCTACAAGACGACCCGTATACCATCCCTTGGAAGCAAAGATTTCTCATGTAGGGCCCTCTTTTGGTGTCTTTGATACCGGGAAAATCTATACTGACAAGTAGTCTCCCCCACGCAGACGATACGTCTGACCTGGTGATCTGGACAGTGTAAGTCCGATGTTTCTTTTATACGATATCTAGCCAATTCCGTGACATTGCTAGTGGTTGTTGTTACCCTCTCCTGACTGACGGGTATTGAAATATTATAGCGTCGAGGGCAGCACCATCATCATCGCAAGTTCGATACCCGTCATGCAGCCCCTTCTCGAGCTCATCCTCCGACGCAATCCTTTCAGCTCCGCCAAGGACTCCAAGCAAACACCTCAATATTACGAGGACTACAGCTCCCATAGCAAGTCAAGATCGCGCGGCGGAGGCGGCATTGAACTTGGACAGCGCAAGCCAAAGGTCAAGCCAAAGGATGAATTGGGTCTTACTATTGTCGAAGGCGACAGCCAGGAGAATATTCTCACGCCAACGTCCGACACGAACCAAGACATGTTTGCTTCATCGGAAGCTCCAACTCTGATATCTGTACAAAACGACGCTAACCAACGCCCCGCTGACGGAAAGATTATGCGGACCGACCTTGTGAGCATCACGTATGAGGAACAAGGACCGGCCCATGACACTTCGGCCTCGAGCCGGTGGAAAGCTATTTGAGAAATCCATGCCGGCGTGAAGTTTGAACTTGGGATTTGAAAACAGAAAGGAAAGGAGAAGTTTGAGAAAGAAAAATACTCATTTGAGGTACAAGGGGCTATTCACTCTGACCAAACATGAAGATAAGGGCACAGGATGAGGTCAAAAGGAGCATCCAACCCATTTTAGTAGAGGTTTCCTGCTTATGTCAATTCACCTCCTTCAGCCCAATTGTTCCGTAAACCAAAATTTAGGTTTTGATGTCTTAATCCATTTCGTCAAACTTTTGGGAACGCAATGTTGTGTCCATCCTTAATCATCGAATTTTCACAACTCTGGGCAGATGCAAAAGGGCGACGTGGGAATAGGCCTCTAGTCACCACGCAAGATATTGATATCGAGTGAATGGGAAGCCGATGCAACGATGTAAGGTCAAAAAATGTTGGAACGGTCGGCGTGCATTGTCTTCTGCCTTCTTCTGTGACGGGCTATTGCTTGCTTGCTTGCCAACCATTCGGCGTCGTTCGGCGACGACGCGCCACATCTCGCCGAGACTACTGTTTCGGAACAATTTTTGGAAGCTCCGCAGGTGTGCTCAGTGCTGCAACGGGAGCGGGACTAATTCTCTCATCTTCAATGAAAGGTCGATGGCTGGCTGGGGACCGGTTCCCAGGAGGGAGTGAGGGGCAATCGCTAATTCGTTACGCCGGATCACGGCAGACCGTTTTCGTCGAAGACAAGCACAAAGTGGTGCGGACAAACCGAGATTACGTTAGATGATTCGTACAGAAACGTTTTCTGTTTCCCTAATTTCCGCCACCCTTACTTGCCTTGTCTCACCCATGCCCGGATTCGATGGTTTCGGAAACGCGGCGAAGTGGGGCCGTCCCGGCGGGGGCCCCGAGTGAGCATATGGGCCGGAAACCGGGATGTTATCACAGGTAAACTTGGGGCAAAGTCACTTGGTACCTAGGTTTGATGCGTGGACAGTTATGGATGAGTTTTAGCGTAAGTGGCCATCAGCCTTCAGAGTTCAGCTTCGCCTGGGTAAAAGAGGTTTAATTTGATTCCTTACCTATTTATCTTCAGCGAGCAATAAAAAACATGACTTACCTACTAAAATATTTTTGCAGTCGAGCAATTCGGCCTCAGACAGACATACTCATTCTCGGTGAAGTTTTAAAATGACCCGAAAAGAAAATTGAGAATATACTTAGGAGGGTCATAGGTGAAATTCAAAAATAAAGATGGTAAATAACGTGCCATCAAAGCGAAGAAATCTGTCTAGAATCATGCGCTGAGTGGATGATGGTAAGCTCTTGAAATACCTATACCTTTGGGTCTCCTACCCAATGATGGTTATCTGATGAGGGATGTTTGTACGTCCGTACTCATCGAAGTGCTGGTCTAGAACGGTTACGCAGCGACTAGCCGCTCTTCGGGTTCTCCCAGAAGCTAGTTCCCGTTTCGAAGGGCCGACGCCTGCCAACAATACAGCTGGCCCACGTGCTGCCCCGGGTCTAGTTCACCGCATTGGTCTCAGCGCGGCCAGTCTACACAGCTTAGGACTCCAGACAAGTAGTAGCGTGAATGACCAGGATAGAGCGGCTCAGTCTACGTCCAATGTGCTGCGATGTGGCACGGATCGCACAAACTGGTTCCATAGGCACCGTACCGGCCCGTCAAATCGGCTGGACGGGTACGGACGAAACGGAGTGCGCGAAACGTATGCGCGGAGTTTGGCTGCCTTCGATCCCTTCACTGCCTGTAGATAGGCTCATGGTGGCACCAGACCAAGGATTCTAAGGGCTCAGCGCATCTTCCGGTTTGTTGGAAGAATTCCACTGGCCGTTGTCTTTTCGGCTTCCCGAAATCGAGTCCGATCCAGCAAGGGTTGCAAATAAGAGGCATCCGATGATATCCTTAACCGGCGCTCTTTGAATCCAAGAATGAATTCGGCGAGTGGGGCAAGGATGACAGATCTCAAAGCAGACGGTGACACGGGTGATCTCTCGCATCCAAGACAATACTCCACGTTGCAGGGGAAACAGCATGTCAGCCGACCAAGACACTCATCTCAGACCCCTGATGCAATGAATATGCAGAACCTGCTTAGACGGTAATCTTCGCTCCAATTGATGTTCCCTTTCAGTAGCGGTTGGCATGGGAATTGTTTGTCCGACGGGTTCCTGCAAGCCATGTCCAGCTCGTTGCGCATCCCTTTGGAGGGCGTCTGCCTCGCCGTACTTGCGACCTTGCAGCGCTTTCACGCATGTGTAAGAGGGTCGGTCGGCCGATGGGCGCGACGTTCAAGGATAAAGTTGGAGCATTTCCGAATCCGGACGATGAATTCGGTATCGTACGTATGTTTAGTTCGAAATCGGATAACGGAACCAAGGCTAGTATGATTCTCATCTCCCCCTAGGAGTCAGTCTGTCTCAACTAGCCCGCGCGGGCATTCAGCTTCCATTTCATCCTCTTTTATAATTCTAGACGCCCACTTTCTCGACGGGGCTCAACAGCGTGTGAGAAGATGTGACGATGGATGATGGCTCACTTTCCGACCCCAAAGGCGGTAACAATCATAGTATGTCATATCTCGGATCTTGAATTTCAGGACCCCAAAATCGAAACATGACCACTGACCTTTCTGGCACGAACTTAGACGACGGGATGGGTTACCATTTTGACCGCCGGCGCAGTACTAGCTGCTTCTCTTCATCTCCGAGTCAACATTCAGGGGAGGAAATTACAGATTAGCGATTACTTCCTATGCCTAGCGTGGTGCTCTGCAGTTGCAACTGCGTCATTCGATATCCAGTTCACAGTCATGGGCGCTTTGCATCAAAATATCAAAATCAATCTCGATGGATTCGACGGAAATGACGACGAAGTTATGTTCATTATGAGGGTAAAAAAACGCACTTTCTTCTTCATCAAATTAGGTGTGCTGACACTACAGGCCTGAAAGTTGTTTTGGGCCAGCAGTATACCATTCTTTACGACGTTCTACCTCTGTAAAGGAGCCCTTCTCGCCGTCTACGTTCAGATATTCCCAATTTTCATGTACTATCGACGAATGATGTTATGGACGGCGATAGTCTACTGTGGGCTGGCGTATCTGGTCAGCATGATTCTGCTTTTCACTATTTGCCTGCCTCTGAGTAAGAACTGGTGAGTTGGTCCGGCAGTGCAGAAACCCGTTTCTCGGCATTGAAATTAACTTAAGCTCTCGGTTAGGTCTATCGAAGATCGGGTCGTGGGAACAGAAAATGTTATGTGCTCGGCCTCATCTCCCGCCATTGTTTTCCAAGTCGGCTGGGCATTGCATTTCTTTGGAGACATCTTGAGTAGGTATACGCCCACGTCTTTCAACTGGAAAATCTACTGATCTCCTACCAAGTTTTCTGCCTCCCTTGGCTTATCCTACCTGATTTGAAGATCAAGAGAGCCCTCAAAATCGGCGTTTACTGTACCTTTGGTCTCGGCATCATCAACATGACCTTTTCTCTCGTCCGCTTCATCACCATACAGACTGCATCGGTGGAGGCATTGCCATTCGGCTTAGTTGGTGAGTACTCGAACATGTTGAATGCCTCTACAGGCTCTTTGATAGATGTTTGCTGATGGCTGAACTGCAGAACTTTGGAGCGAGCTAGACGTCAACATTGGTCTTTTAGTCGCAACGTTACCATGCCTAAGACCGTACTTCCGATCGAACCGAAAAGCTGGCTATTCGGACAAGTCTAATGCTTATAACTATAAATCAACCGTCAAGACGCTGCAAATAACACGCATGAGCAGATTTGATGTCGTCAGCGAACCAGCATACGACCTCAATATCGACCTTGAGCATGTGGCAGCTTGCTCAACCACTACGCAATCACAGAAGTCTAGCGAGACGGTGTAAGATCTTGGAGATGCAGAGATTTAGAAGACAGCCTGATGATACCCCAGTGCCACCAGAAGGTAGGCCAGCATTTGAATAAGCGTGGTTTGGTACCGAGCGTGAAGGCCATATCGATTGAACTACACCATTGAGGTGTTGTTAGACGTAATAAATGCCTTATCATCTTATGACTAGTAATTCACAACATTTTGTCATACCTATTACAGTGCATGTGTTTAGCTGACATGCTCCTTCTTTTCACTCCTTGGTATTCTGACGAAGAAAGCACATATCAAAGCGCCTGACAGAGCGGTCGCCAGGCTCAGCCACCAGATAGAACGCAGTGCCATTAAGTCGAGGGAACCCCCTGGCTGGCTTGTGATCTTCTCGCCAATAGTGTCTCCCAATGCTGCGAGTACAGCGGTGGACAGGTTTTGCGCAGTGATAACCAAGCTCCCTGCAGCACCTTGGTACGATCTGGGCACGTTCGACGTAATGAACACGGAGACAGCTGCGAACGACATGTCCGGCCCAAAAGTGCTTACGATGAAGCAGGGAAATGAGAGCGCCCAATAGAGTGTACCCGCTTGTTGAGGTAAGAAGAAAGCAGGGCCCGTGGCAAATGCGAGCATGCTTCCCATCATAATAACGTGTCCCGGTACCACATGAAGAGTTCTGGATACAATCCACGACGCCAAGGTTCCGCTCACACCGATAGGGAGAAGATAACATGCGACAATGATGGGTGGCTTTTGCTGGATGGTAAGCAAAAAGCGCACCGCATAGAATTGCCATGCTCCTGCATAAGCACCATATCCTAGAAAGTAGGACAATATTGAAGGAAAGAATCCAGGAGTCTTCCAAAGACGATTATCGATCAGCGGCCGCCGTACTCGGCTCTCAATGAAACCGAAGCTGGCTAAACAGGCAACTCCGATGATGACAAGGGCGTAAGTGTAAGGAGTCCAGTGCGTAGGCGATCCTTGAGTGAGACCAAAGATGAGGAATCCGCATTCAAGAATTGCTGCTGCCGCTCCAATGAAGTCAAAGTCTTTCAAAGATAATGATTCGTTGGGGAGAGAAGGGATACACCAGATAGCGGCGACCAGGCATGCCAGAGACAGGACGGATGTTGACCCGAATATCCAAGGCAAATGTGTACTTAACGCACCGCCCTGCATGAACCCGAGGGCAAACCCGAGGGGTATCATAGCACCCATCAAAGAAAATACTCGGTTCTTCCGTAGACTGGGATTGTAAACCCTCCCGAGCATGCTCATTGCCGCGGAGCAAAGGGTACCAACCGCCAAGCCAGACATTGCTCGAGCGACGAAGAATAATATTATCCTGTCAGGCGCAACAGCGAACGCACCGATAAGGTTCCATAGAGAAAGCCAGATGAAGGCCGCACAGGTGAGATATTTCGGATTGATGAGATCTGCCAAGGAGCCCGAGATTACAACGGAAACTCCATTAGCAACGAGAAAGGAACCGATAAGCCATGGTGTATTGAGCGAAGTCGTTTTCAGAGCGTCGATGAAAGTGACTTGGTTGACAAAAGTATGCGAAAGATGTATTGCAAATAGAAGCTGGCCCATAGAGCATATGCAAATGAACCCGATCTCTTCCGCGAAGGAAGCGAACTCTTGAGGGATGGCGGAGGCTTCTAGTCGACGGGTGATAGCTAACACTCGAGTTTCCGTCTCTACGCCATCGTCCATTTGAGGCGACGCAAGTTCCATTGCATGAGCCTGAGTGGTTGTTACTGAGGTCGACATAACGAACGAAGTGCAATCATCAAAAGAAGTTCATAATCAGAATTGGTGGCGTGAAGCTTGAGGTAGGATGTATTTCCAGGCAGGCCGAGATTTTCATGAGACCGAAGCCTTTTCTTATTGGAGATCATGTCTCTCAGATTTTGAATTTGATTTATCAGCCAGGGTAGATTATAAATCTTGTTTTCTATTAACAATCCGAAAAATAATCCCAGGTGACGTAGAGATGGGGCTCAGGAGCCGAAATCGCGCCCGGCTACTCGGTCTCTTGAGTATGCGCTTTGGACCACCACCATAAAGCCGAAATCAATATTACAGGAAGAACTATGTCAAATAAAATTCGATTTCTTCGAGATACGGTAGGATATAAAGCCAACACGAATGGTTCGCAATAGATTTCGATCAAGCGTGGTCACCAGTAAGGGCGAGACAAACGCTCCCAGAAAGAGTTACAACCAAGATAAGATGTAAGCAATCGCTTGAGGCTCTTTTGATACTAATTGCATAGTTTTGTGCCTGAGTTCAATTGAACCCGAGCCTCAGACTCTTGGCTCTTCTTTCATATCGCTTAAATGCGAATGCATGACCCTACCGTCCTTCATAACAGCCAATATAGACTCCTGAGACTTGTCCAGGATTGTGATATCATCCAGAGGGTTACGGTCTAGAATCAGCAAATCGGCCATGAATCCTTCCTTGACCTGCCCTAGCTTGTCTTCCTGGCCAAGCAACTTGGCGGCATTGATAGTGGCGCTTTGCAGAATCTGAAGAGATGTCTGGACTTGACTACGAATAGAGAACTCTTTCGACTGAGCGAAGTGAGTTGGACCCAGCAAATCTGTTCCGAAACAAACTGTGACACCGACCTCAGTTGCCATCTTGAGTGTAACTAGGCCCTGTTCAAGTACAGTGGTGACTTTAGCTTCTGACTCGGCATCGAGGAAATGTGACTCCTTCGATACGAAGTGAGTGACAAGCGTCGGTGTGAGGAATGTCCCCGTCTTCGCCATCAATTTTGCAGTTTCGAGATCGATCAGGTTGCCGTGCTCAATACCCCTGACGCCCTGGTTGATGGCCTGTGTCACCGCTTCCGTGGTATAGCAGTGACTCGTGACATATGTCTTTGCGTTTTTTGCAACGGTGACTATAGCCTTGATTTCGTCGTCAGAGAACTGAAGCTGGTCGATGCGATCTGTTGGACTAGCAACGCCGCCACCGCCCATGATCTTAATGAAGTCTGCGCCTTGACGCAATTCGTCCCTCGCAATACGATAGCATTCCGGCACCCCATCTACGATTCGACTGATGCCTGAGACGGCGCCGCCGCAGCAGGGGATGGTGTCGTGCCGCCCCCTCATATCGCCGTGACCGCCAGTCTGAGAGAGGGCCTTTCCAGAAATGAAAAGGCGAGGGCCAGGATAGATACCCTCTTCGACGGCCTCTTTCATAGCGAGGGTTGCACCACCGCAGTCTCTGACAGTAGTGAACCCGCGCTGGAGCATTGACTTCAGAACACTGGGCTGCCGCAGAAGGCTTTTGGTCTCTGTCATGTCTCGGTACGACGACAGACTGGCTGCGCCTGGCGTAACTGCGATGTGAACATGACAGTCGATCAGACCGGGGCAGACGTATTTGCCCTCAAGGTCGATGATGTTCTCCGTTTTAATATCGAATCCACTTGACTTTGCTGGCTCGCCTGCTTCGATGGAAACAATCTTGCCGGCGGACAGGGCAATAGTGGCATTGCTGCTGATGGATCCATGAATGGGGTCAACAATTTTGCAATTTTTCAGAAAGTACGGTTGCTGCGGATCAAGCTTCCACGGAGTGATGTATTTCGACATGTCTAGACCAGAAGTCTCTGGTTTTGATTGTGTGGTGACCATTTTGGTGTGAAAATTATCGGGCAAATTTTGACTAGGTTGATGCACACGCACGTCTGATGGTAAGTAACACATCAAGAGGTATAGATATACAATTTATGCGCTTGTCATTCACCACAGGCACATGATACCAAGAAACCATGATACTAGTCAACGTATGAAAACGTCACAGACGGTTGGAGTAGTAATGTGTATGGGCGTTCAAATGATGCGACTTCCGGTGAATAGGCGATGTTGAAGAATCCGGGAGGAATTCAGGCAAGGCGAATGTTGAGACATTCCGTCTGCGGCTTGAGAAGTTCGTGGTGTGGACACTTCCTCGCCAGCGAACATAGGACGCATCCGGCGACGCACATGGTCTGACTTCAAGACCCGCTCGCCGAATGCCATCTTCAGTTAGCGTGTCATATGCGAGAATACGAAAGCGTTCTCGTTCAGCTTGAACCTCGAGTCATCTCCTCGGCTATTGATCCTACCTTGGTGAAGTGTCATTTTTCGAGCACCAGTTCGGCCAAGCCGTTGGGGCTGAATTATGGTGCTGATTCAGTGATTCCAATCTTCCGGGATACATTTTCATGAACCGTGGGTGCGAGGCTGTTGGGCAAGTGACAATTAGAGGTGACTACAACTTTACCGAAGATGCACCGTCACCTACTAGTAGTCATGTGAGATGCGACGTATGCTGCAGATGGTCTTGTTCGGTCTGAACGGGGCGATATCGGACTTTGAACGGGTCAGCGCAACCGGGCATACAACAGTTTGGCTCTGTGACAGCTCACACGCAGAGAAAACAGTCCTTCCACTGAAACAATTCAGGTGTATTTCAAAGAGGTCGTCGATCGCGAGGGTTTGGTTTGACTGAAGGATACTGCTAGCATTTAAGCATCAACTATGCATGGTCGCAAAGGACAATATGTACAAATTAGTAGTCTTGTGTGATAGGCAGGCCTAGACTGAATCTCGAGAGACAAACAACAGGCTGTTTTGTTTCGGAAGAATGCAAACACAAATCTATGCGTCAGTGCCATTCGCCAGAAAAGTCGTCTTTAATCTATCTGAGCAACTCGGTAATAGCCAAACAGCTCGTTGGGCGGCAAGACAATCGAAGGGATGTACAAAAGAAATGTGATCGTCACTAGGACATCGCTTTCACTAATTACAAGCGAACACCGGCTTGACCGATGACAGCCTAACAGGGTCATCAACCACCTGCGCGGAAGACCGGCATGGAAAAGAAGAAATAGGCTAGATCCGAAGATATGGCATTCGACGCAGCCCTGTCTCTTTTCACAATAGGATTCCACAGCGCGATCCGTCCACGTGGGATCCGAAGTGGAATTCTGCTCACCAACAGGCCGTGCAATCTGAAATACGGCACCGCCCGCAATATCGCGACTCATGTCCACTATCCACTCCGGTCCAGACTCACGGCCAGTAACCATCCCTTTGGGTTAGCATTAACTATTTAGTGAAACGTTGAACCTTAAAGCTCCCAATTGGCATGCTCTTCCACCAAGGAAAAACCCAAAGTCGGCAACAAACCGTACGACGCGGACATACAGCCCCTTTAACAGGAGGATGACACCTGTAAATCAATGCAGTTAGCCGGGGATCCGACGAAGCACAGGCCGCTGCTAGTATAGAGCAGGAAGAAGAACAGGCCCATCGTGAACCTCTGTGGCTCCCTTTCCCGATCGCGTTTCCGCTCACTCCGCGCTCCTAGCGCTCTTTTGGCGAATTAGAGGGCAGAATTCCCCCATGTAGTTTCACATGGCAGAGAAAGGGGGGCTGTCGTTGCTGAGTGGCGGGTTTCTAATAAGTTGCAAGAGCCATTAGTCTTTGGGAATGATACCCTAAAGAGTTTGTCGTTCGGGCGAAATAGATTAAGGAATTGAGTGTTGTTTCTTTTGTGGGATGCCGCATGGCTGTCAGTATGTCAGCCCATCCCTTGAGACCTTCTTCATTTGGTGGTCTGCTCTGAAGTGACTGGGACAAGTATCGTGGGCTTCCTGGTATAAATCGAGCTGGCATTCCTACGATGATCTCTTCCCTTTCCGCCTTCCATTCAGTTTATCCTCACTTAATTTTTAGGATCATCCCCTCCATCCATCAAAATGCACGGTCTTCTCTCTATCGGTGCGGCCCTTGCCGTTATGATCCAAGGCACCGCCGCTGCCACGAGCGCTGTTGCAACTTGGTATGGTGGAAACCTGAGCGGAGGCAACTGCCTGTTTTCCAGCTATACGTTGCCATCGAGCGTCCTGGGGACTGCCTTGTCGTACACTAACTATAATGGAAATTGCGGTACTTGCCTCAATGTGAAGGGGCCCAAGGGTAACACTATCAAAGTTATGGTAAGCATCAGCAATCGATCTCAACCACATCTACGAGCTGTTTTAACCCGAGATCAGGTCGTCGACAAGTGCCCCTCAGGTTGTGGAAACGGCCAACTCGACCTCTTCCCCGATGCTTTCGCCAAGCTCGATGATCCCAACAAGGGACAGATCAGCGTCTCATGGGAGCAGGTTCCTTGCGGCATCACCTCACCCTTGATTGTCCGCAACAAGGAGGGAACCTCGAAGTGGTGGTATGTGACTCCGATCACGGTAGCAACCAATATAGTTTGACTTACATTAATTCTAGGTTCTCCATGCAAGTTGTGAACCACAACTACCCAGTCACTAAATTCGAAGTCAGTACCGATAGCGGCAAGAGCTGGCAGCCAACCGTCCGCCAGGACTACAACTACTGGCAGAAGAGCAGTGGTGACGGCTTCCTCGTGGACACAGTTAGCGTCCGCGTCACCTGCTCCAACGGTAAACAGGTCGTTGTGAATAACGTTGGTACGAAGGAGAAGGCCTCATTCACTGCATCCGGCAACTGTTAGACGGGACCATTTGACAGCCTGCCTCATGGGATATTCTACTTACGTATCCCTGGGCTCGGCTTGTTTCTTTGATTGACGCACCACGACTCCGCGGCGAGGAATTTGTACATAGCCTTTACATTTTGGACATAATTTGACAGTACAAAATTTTCACATGATACCACCAATCCGGGCATGACTGGCGACAGAACTCAGTTTTGGGCAATATATCTTCCTATTCTGTTACTCCGCCTATGTGTCCGACGTATTGTGTAGCATGCACTCGCTTGGGTAGCCGGAAACAAACTGTAAGGGTTTGTGGACAATGTGTGGTCTACTGTAATTACTACTATATTGAGTCTTATGTCTTGTTGAAATACAGATATACCCCTTCTAATCGAGCATGCACAGATTATTGATGAGTTCATAGGTTTCCCTATGTTCAAATCCATTGTCCTATGTAAGAGATTTCAGTTTTGAAAAGACATCTCATAGACACAAACAGGTGACCAAACTCTACATTATCGTCAACGGAGAAACCCTGATGCCGGTACTCTGCTCTAATGCCTCAGCATCGGTAGAGTGGCCCGTCACAGTACCCTGTGGCTGGATTGCAGGCGGGCCAGGAAGCCGAGTCAAGGAGCAAACCTCGGCCCAGTGAGCCGAGCTGAGGGGCCTTAGTGCTTCACACTATCGGTCTATCAAGCAGTGGGAAGAAGGAGAAGGTCTGGTATTGGTCAATACCGAATAAAACCGCAAAACCAATAATGCAAATAAAATGCTACTTTCAATCAAGGAGAGAGCAAAATCAAGCCTTAATTGAGGCTCTGAGATCCTGAATTTGAGAGAATGGCTTCTGGCTCAGAGGACGCTAAGGTGCGCCACATTCGTGACTGTGGCTGGGGTTGGAGGTGCAACCAAGATGTCTCCGCACCTCATTCCATCTCAAGATTGACAATTACAAGACTTCAACGGGAGAAACCTCACAACGTAGGGCGTATACCCCCATAACAACTTTTTGTGAATAATTTTAATATGAATATGTGATGGCTGGCGAATGCGAGAGTCCGAGCAGCTCAGCCGAGCAAGAAGCTGAGACGGCAAACTCTGTCCAGCGCGGCAAGCGAGCGAGCAACGCGTGAGTGAAGCAACCTCCAGGCTTAGCATCCTCGGATGTGAAAACGTGTATCATTCAGTCGAATCCTAATGATAATTCAAGGTGTACGCGGTGCCGCGAACGAAAGGTGAAGTGTTCGGGTTCATTACCATGTGCGAATTGCCAGCGAAAGTCAGTCGAGTGCGTATTTGCTAAGGAGGATCGGAAGGTTGTTGTGTCTGAAAGGTAACTCAGCGCCCGCCTTTACGCGTTGTCTAATGCAAGCTAAGATGTTACTATCTGGAGGTTTCTCAATGAGTTGAAACGCAAGTCGGGATATGGCGTCGACGGAGAAACCTCGACTTCTCCGACAGCGAAGCGACCTCAACGTCATCGATCGACGTCGCCTGCTGATGCTAGCCTTCGTCATGGTAAGCCTTCATCTGGTATCGCGTTTGATGGTGTGGTCTCGCTTATCATAGCAATTGCTTCATGTAGTAATTCATGAAACACCAGCACCAGTTTTGATAGAGGTTGGCCACCGAGCATCGCCGCCGGCACATGGTTTCAATCTTGACGACGGCACGACTGTCGTCGGCGGTGAAGATGACCCCGAAGAGCGCCGTGGCTTCTCGAACATGCGGAACCCACTAGCAAGTGGACCATCAAAGTTCCTCACGGATGCAACAGGTAGAAGGAGTGAGTAACTACTTGGCGTTATCATTGCTTCTTCCAATCTAAGTGGCTTACAGGATGGCTTGGGCCTTCGTCAACTTGGGCATACAGCCGACAGGTACTAAACATGATCCAGGGGCATCTCGGTCAGCATGAATCTCCAGAGGTCCCTCTCAATGTTGATGCTGAAGCATTCAAGTTGGACTGGCCTTCGTCTAGAGACATCGCCCCGCAAGCCACGGTTGACATCCCGTCTCTAGACTATGCTCTTTATCTCACGAATACGGTCAAGTTCCATCTTGGACAAACATACCATCTGTTTGACGAGGAGAACTTCATGACTGGTCTCTATGACCTCTACAGAACAGGGCCGAAGCTGGAACCGACGGCAGATTCTAGGTTGTGGTATATCCAGTTCCTCATCATCATGGCTTTCGGAAAGGCCCTTTTAGTCCCTGGCAACCCAAATCAGACTCCTCCTGGGAGTGGTTTGGTGACGAGGGCTCTCGAACTTCTTCCTGATGTCCATGGACTGTACCAAGACCCTGTGCTATCCGTAGAGATACTATGCGGTCTTGCTCTATATCTACAGTCGGTAGACCACAGGAACAGTGCTTATACCTATGTGAGTCGACGGTCGGCCGCTATTCACTTATCGAGCTTTTCGCTTATTTTAGCAGATCGGCCAAGCATTTCGAATCGCCGTCTCGCAGGGCTTACATCGGGAGCCACTAAAAAACCTTGTTAGCGACAGCGAGGCTAACAGATTACGATGCGTCTGGTGGACTCTATATATCTTAGACCGCAAGATGTCATCACTCATGGGCGCTCCCAATTCGATACAAGATAGCGATATCACCGTTCAATTGCCAAGATCGGATCCGGTTGTTCACAAGTACAAGGCACTCGGAATACACGTTGTCTTGTCTCAGCTTCTTGCTAAGGTTCTGAACAGTAAGTTTAGAGAGCCTACATGCAGACACTGGAACTCTCTGACCAAGTCATAGCCGTGTATGGCGTGGACGGTAAACTCGATCCCTCTTTTTTGAAGAGTGTTCAGGAAGTTTTAAGAGATATGGCAAGGTTAGCGCCACAGCTTACGGCCGGGTTCGAGTTCAAGTTCAACAACTCTGAACCTGCGTCGAGGGTGTCTGCTACACTTAACTTGTGTTATCATCAGGTAAGTGAATATCGACAACCGACTTCCATCTCTGGTAGCTAACCATCTTCAGTGTGTCGTTCTTGCCACACGCCCGCTCCTTATGTGCCTTCTACAAGACGTCCTAGGAAGGCAAGGAAACTTGAATAGAGGCCTGGCAAGCCCAATCAAAGCACTTTTGAAGACATCGGCAGACTCAGCAAACAAATCACTTCGAATTCTGTCAACACTACAGTCGCAACACCTACTGGGTAAGCAGATGTATCTACTCGCGGTCATAAAATGAACTGACATGCTAGCCAGAATCTTTCCTCCCCTTTGACTTGGAGCAGGCGTTCTCATCGGCTTTCGTTCTCACTTTGATGACCTCTATGCCTGGCCTTTCGGAACGAGATAACAACTACATGCAAACTACAACTGACATACTTGACACCATGATTGCGCGCGGTAACGTTGTAGCCCGGTGCCGGAAGGAAGAGCTCGAAAAGTTACAGGAGATGCTGTGTGTCGCTCAACGTCAACTCCACGCTCCATTACCAGTTGCCGGTGACGGCAGCAGCAGCATGCAAGCTACAGATCAGTCTTCACTGCGCATCCACACTGGAGACGCGTTGTTTATGACTGAACAACCCGCAGAAGCCGGTCCGGCGACTGGCAGCACAACAAATGGGCTCGCCTCTGAACAAATGCTGTCTATAGCGGGCTTGCTCGATTGGGAACCGAATATGGCCGCTTTCGACGACGATCAGCTCGCAGGGAGTTGGTTGTGGAGCGAGGCGATTGCCCCGGATTTTGATTTTAGCGGGGGCTTGCTATGATTGACTAATAGGTTACCAGACTCGCCCTCGGATGTGTGCTTCCGAAAACAGGTCTGGAGGAATGAAGACAGCTTACCAAACTAGGCTTGCTGAGGAAACCCACGACTCAGAGATAGATAATCTCGGATTCGCAGATAGAGACAATCTAATCCCCCGGGGTAATCGTCCCATCGATGACGGCCAACAACCGGCTTCAACTCGTAGCTCCATATGCAGGTACTAAAGTAGCGAAGGTGCCAGGAGAAATCTTACAACAGACCCAACTTGGATAGCGAGAACCTTATCAAATACACTTGAAAAATACTCCGCGACATTCCAGGTCTCCAGATAGGGGCTTGCCCGAGTCAGTTGACTATCTGATACCAGCTTGCGGGTTGACAAACCGAGGGCCTCTCCCCGCGTTTTTGACCTCTCGGGACCCACTCCCGAATCGCTACCCCGGACCCACGGACTCGAGATAGTGACCAAGACTGGGGTGTCAAGGTCTTGTCTGGAAGTTGACTAAAGCCAACGCTGCGATTATAAGACTTCGATATGACACTGGTTGTCCCGGCCTTTTGGTTCGGGAGTTGTAGAGACACAGGAACTGGTCAACTCGTACGAACTCGTTGAGTCTCTGTCGAGAAACAACACCCTAGCCAGCAATTTGGATGTTGTGATTTTTGCAGCAGTAGACACCTCAACTTTAACATCTTAGGTTCAGACAATTCAACGATGGATCAAGAGAAGATGGAACCTGCGCGCTTGGAAGGTCTGTCCCATCAACAAAGTGCGAAGATCGGCCAAGTCGAAGATCCAAACATCCTGCCCGGCCACGAACTTCATAAACGTCTCGAAACGCGCCATGTCACGATGATTGCGCTGGGCGGTGCGCTTGGAACAGGACTGCTGATTGGAACGTAAGCTGTCTCCCCGTACGACAGACTACCATCCTGGCGTCCATTTTAACCCACCAATTTACAGAGGCTCAGCTCTAGTCAAGGCAGGCCCAGCCGGCATCCTCATCGACTACTCCATCGTCGGCTGCATCGTCTTCCTCGTCATGGCCGCCCTCGGCGAAATCATCTCCTACATGCCCCTATCCCACGGCTTCGGCGGCTACGCGACCCGCTTCGTAGACCCGGCCCTCGGCTTCGCGACAGGCTACTGCTACTTCTTCAAATACCTCCTCGCCACGCCCAACCAGCTCTCCGCCTTTGCCCTGATCATGAAGTTCTGGGTAGGGGACCGCGTCAACCCGGCCGTCTTCATCACCATCGCCCTGGTTCTGATTCTCCTGATCAACAGCATCAGCGTCAAGGCTTTTGGCGAGTTCGAGTTCTGGCTCTCGTCTCTGAAAGTGATTATCATGATCGGCGTCATTCTACTGCTCTTCGTCCTCGCTGTGGGCGGCGGTCCCACCGGCGACCGTCCCGGCTTCAGGTACTGGTCCGATCCGGGTGCGTTCGCCGAGTACAAGGTCGAGGGTGCCCAGGGCCGGCTTCTCGGGGTCTGGAGTGCCATGGTTGCGGCAGTGTACGCGTTTTCCGGCACGGAACTCGTCGGTGTCACAGTCGGCGAAGCCAAGAATCCGCGTCTGTGCATGCCAAAGGCTGTTCGCCTGACCTTTATGCGCATCGTCTTCTTCTATATCATCTCTGTCTTCCTGTTGGGCATGGTTGTCCCCTATAACAGTGCCGAGCTCGTCTTCGCGGCCAAGGCCAAAACCAGTGCTGCGGCCTCGCCATTTGTGGTGGCCATCACCATTGCCAAGATTAAGGGGCTCGATCACGTCATCAACGGTTGTCTCGTGGTGTTTGTCTTCTCGGCGGCCAACTCGGACATTTACATCTCGTCTCGCACGCTGTACGGTATCGCCATCGACGGCAAGGCCCCTCGCATCTTTTCCAAGACGACCAAGGCCGGTGTGCCTGTTGTGGCTTTGGGTCTATGTGGTGTCTTCTGTTGTCTGGCGTACATGTCTGTCAGCTCTGGTGCCGCAACCGTTTTTGGCTACCTGACGAACGTCGTCACTGTCTTTGGTGAGTCCGCCTCGATACTTGAATAAAAAGGCCAACACTGACGCGTACCATAGGTCTGCTTACATGGATTTCCATCCTCGTCTCCCACATCTTCTTCTGCCGCGCCCGAACAGCCCAACGCATCGATGCCGCATACATCCCCTACCGCGCTCCTCTGGGAGCTTGGGGCTCCTATGCCGCCCTCGGCTTCCTCATTGTCCTGACCTTGACGAAGGGTATCGAAGTGTTCGTCGGCACTTTTGACTACAAGAACTTCATCGTTCAGTACATTGGAATACCCGTCTACCTGATCTGCATTTTTGGTTACAAGATCTTCAAAAAGTCCCATCGTGTTCGGGCCGAGACAGCCGACTTGGTCACGGGCGTGCCAGAGGAGACTGTTGCCGAGGAGAGAGCAGCAGTCGAAGCAGAAAGAAGAGAAAAGAAGGTGGTGATGGGGAAGAAGAGCGCATTTGCTAAAGTTTATCGCAAGGGGTTCTCATGGTTATTTTAAGATGAGTCGATGACAATTATAACACTCGCTTACGAGACTTAAGATGATACGCATTATATCTAACTAGAATCACTGCTTCAACAAGTCAAATCTTCCGAAGCCATCGATTCATTCCGTGCTATGTCTTCAGTTCCCATCATCAATCTCTTAACCCATCTAGATCGGATGCTCAATCACAACTTTCTCCAACGAAGCACCGCCATAAGCCACCCTCTGGATCTCCCGTAAGCCGGCTTCGCCACCCTTAACAACAGTGATATTTGGGTGCTTCGGAGCCCTTTCGGGAGAGCCGAGAAAATATTCCATTACCCTACGCACGCAAGTCGGGAATTCAGGGTCTTGCGGATGTCCCATGGCACCAACGCTACCAACGGGCCTGTAGCACGTGCAGAAACCGAAAGCCGGATCGTGAGCCACGGGTTGCGTGCACACAAGCTTAACAGATTTCTCCTCGGCACTTTCAGATAAGCTCCTGCGAAGAAGCGTCGGCGTAGACGTCTCAGAGTCGGCGTTGGGGCCATGAAGGCCGCTGCCAACGGTGTCGAAACCGGTAGTCAGGCTCGCACCGAGGTCCTTGGCAGCAGCGCGGATATCTCCAATCACATCGGGACTTTTGTAGTCGAAGCAATGTGTAGCCCCGAGCCGCTGAAGCGCGGCGTGGTTCTTAGCGGACGCGGTCGTGAAAATGGGATTGAATCCCGCCGCCTTGGCGAGCTGGATGGCCGCGATGCCGACGCTGCTGGCCCCGCCCCAGATCAGTATCGGCTTGTCGGTACCATCAGTCCCGGTGACGCCCGCGGCGGGGAAGGCGAAACCAAGAACGTTGAAGATGGCATCGGCGGCAGTCTGCGTCGTGAGAGCCATGCCTCCGGCGTCTCTGAGGGCGAGGCCGGGAGGCAGCTTGAAGGTGAGATTGCTTTCGACGATGGCCTTGTCTTGGTGGGTGCAGGCCGAGGACTTTTGGGGAACCCCGACAGGTGAGATCCCGAGGACAGCGTCGCCAGCTTGCAAGGTCGATTCAGATCCGACTGCCTCGACGATGCCGGCGAACTCGAAGCCGGTGACGAAGGAATTGAGGCCTACGTGGAAGAAGTTGAGATCGCAGGGGTTGATGCCGGAGTACTTGACCGAGATGAGAGCTTGAAGTTTCTGGGGTGTGTAGTCTTCCGTGACTTGCTTGATGGTCAGTTTGCCATCGGCACCTAGGTAGATTGAGCGAGACATTTCTTATAGGCTGTTATTTTCGTGGTATTGACAACTAATTAATTAGATAGCTCATCTTCGTACTATCGTCTTGAAGAATGGTGTCGTTTTATATCCAACAACTCAATACCCAAACGGCATCTAAAAGTGCTCTTCTGGCTCGGCTTAGACATCACACCGGGGCCGCGACCATCGGCGGTTCACACCGTCGAGGTCCGCCTCTCTCGGGATTATGAAAGAGTATTGTCGTTGCGCCGAACGCCCCACAGCACCGGACTTAAGAACGTGCTTAGGTTGTGTAAAAGGCGGGATTAGATTAAGTTTGTCTGTGTCGAGCGGTAGAAAATGATGAACCTTGAAGAACACGGACGGAAGACGGACGGGGCTGCCTCCGTCTGGAGCTATCCGCGAGGTTCCTCCGGAGTAGTCCTTCGGTCCAATGCCGGCACTTTCGGCACTCATGGCTAGAGATACCTAGATTGAGTGCTCGCGCGCGGTATGACCACGACTTTCAGTTGACTCTCTACATTGCTCATTTGATGGTTAGGTAGTTGGCTGTAATGGTCCGCACTGTATCACAGAATCATGTTTTGCCTCCAAATGACAATGGCCAAGAAAACGAAGGTTTCGGCCCATGTAACTTTACATTACCTCACAAAGATTGTGTTTCACAGATGTTAGCTGGGTATTTCGTACATCCGCTTCTTCAACAAGTAACTCCAAGCAATCGACGAGCTTGACGAAGTTGAAGATGATCAGGCTTGCAACCAACAAGCAAAGTTGATCTTTTGACATAATCTACAAGGGATAGAGGCCCTTCGTGTGGCGAATTGGGTTAGAGGTTATTTACTTTGGTACAATTACTTAGCTAGGGTATTTACGGGGTTGTATAACTTTCAATGATACGGGAATTCCAACTTCCAAGTTCCTCATTTCCATCCCCTAGGTTCGACAGACCACAGTCCAAGTTCTCCTCGCCCCCGGAGCTCGTGTTCTTGCACCTATAGTCTTCACGATCGAGCTTTATGCCCACATTAGAGCCCACTTTAGGTCGTGCACACTTCAAAGATCAAAATCAAGCACTCGGTGTCTGTTGCTTTTCCGCGACAGGCGGCGCAACAGGCGCGTACTGCGACGGCACGAGACCGCCTCCAGGCTGCGGCGAAAAGACCTGGATCGTTCCATCATAAGGCCTCGTAGCGACCTTGTTCTTACAGTTTGAGCAAGTGTAGTGCATGTCCTCGCACCATCCCGCGATGCAGGGGACGCATGTGAGGCAGATGCAGAGGAGACAGCACAGAGCACCGGCAACCCTGCGGAATTGCGCGTGTTAGCTAAACTTGTTCACCACCTGCTCACATGTAATCAAAATAACTTACATTTGCATGGCAGTGCCCTCTTTAGCAATGACCGTCTGTGTCCGCTGTTTGCAAAAGGGGCAGTCGATCCATTGCGGTTCGTCGCCTAGCATATGCAGCGGCGTAACGGTCGCTGGGTTTGCGAGGGGGGTGATTGTCGGACCGCCTTTTTGTTGAGCGGGTGTTGGTGTTGCCGGTTGTCTGCCCGATTCGTAAGTATAATCCCTAAGAACATGGAGGTGCGACGGGCGAGACTTACTCGAGCTGCACCAAGTTCGCTGGCATCTCTCTGGCAGGGGCAGGACCGCTTCCTTGCACAGCAGACGTAACGGGTGATTCTCTCTCATACGCTGGCGCCGGCTCTTGGACGTCGATCGCCGGTGGAGTAGCATTCTTTTGATCCGACATATTTGCTTTTGAGGTTTGTTCTGTGGTGTAGGATGATGAAATGATGAAGTATTGGGTACCACGATCGTACGGCTTGCAAGTCACCGCGAATGACTTGGATAATGGAAGAAAATGTAAGAGGAAGCTAGATTGGTCTTGAGTAGAGAGGACTAGAAGAAGAGATAAAGTACAGACTTTGGAGATGACGAGCACGTGTTCTTTTTTCAATTCGTGTAAAACTCTCCCTCCAGGTAAGAAGTTAGATTATCGAGTACGCGTGAGTCCTACCAAGGTGGCACTAACAGCGGCACAGCATCGCAGGACTCCACAATCAGGCAGAACCGTAACATCGACAACGATCGCCATTGGTGCTTACGGGAATAGACTTGCTCGGCAGGGGGGCAGAATGTCTCTCCCGGGTCGCCCCCAAGGCTCTACGAGTTGGTGTGGGCGGCGCAGCCCTACAACCAGGGCGATTGCGCCTCGTGTGTGAAATGTGAGGGTTGCTCTGGGGGAAAGCTAAGAGACATCCCGGGAATCTTACACCCACGGGCTTGAGATGACCAGATGATAGGTGGTCTTACCTGCCTAATGCAGTTTCTCTGGCGAAGCAATATCCGATGTTACACCAACCGCTCCCGTCCCATAATGATAGAACAGGGGGAACAGACATGACGATCAGATAGCGCAGCCTTACTTCGACCTCATGAATGACTTTTGACACAGCCACCTTTACATGCAGTGGTACCGCTCCTTGGAACCTCATTACCAATTCAGTTCAACGATTCAAAGTCAGTTCACTGATGCAGTTAACAGACCACGGTCAAAAATGTTGATGTAGTCTCTCCAACCCCCTCGGCCTCTTTGAAAATCATCCCGGATGGACTGAGCATCCAGAATCCCAAAAGCGAGTTGCCAACGCAAGGTCAAGATGCGCTTGATCAAAGCTTCATCCATACACGGCAACAAGCTCCAACTCGTCGATTTCAACCCCGATCAGCTCCCCCGGTACGCAATTCTCTCGCACACCTGGGGCGATAACGAAGTCATCTACGCCGACATCAGGAATGAACATGCCGCCACCAAGCCCGCCTTCCACAAAGTCCGCTACAGTTGCACTCAGACTCTGGCAGATGGCCTCGAATACGTCTGGATCGACTCATGCTGCATCGACAAGAGCAGCAGCGCGGAGCTTTCCGAGGCCATCAACTCCATGTACGAGTGGTACATGAAGTCGGAAGTCTGCTACACTTACCTCTCGGGCGTACCTGCTACTGTAGATCCTGTCAAGACGGACGGCGCCTTCGCCTCGTGCCGGTGGTTCACGCGCGGGTGGACACTCCAGGAACTCCTCGCCCCGGCCGAGATGGTCTTCTTCTCCGAGGACTGGGTGAAAGTCGGGGAGAAGACGACGCTGTGCAAGCCCCTATCCGTCATCACAGGCATAGACGAAGACATCCTTACGGGCCTCAGACCCCTCGAATCAGCGAGCCTCGCCAAGCGCATGTCCTGGGCCGCGCACCGGCAGACGACGAGGCCAGAAGATGTAGCCTACTGCCTGATGGGTCTCTTTGGCGTCAATATGCCAATGCTCTACGGCGAAGGGGAGCGCGCCTTCCTCCGCCTCCAAGAGGAAATCATGAAGCAGTCTGACGACCAGTCCCTCTTCGCCTGGGTCGACCTCTCCGCCTCGACCGAGACCTACCACGGCTTGCTGGCCAAATCGCCCGCCAACTTCGCCTACTCCAACTCCATCATGCCCTACCAGGACTGGGAGCCGCGACCGCCGTACTTCATGAGCAACCGCGGCCTGCGCATCGACCTACCCCTGACGCTGCGCGACCAAGACATCTTCGTCGCCGCGCTGGACTGTCCAGCGCCGCCAGACTACGAGGACTCTACGTTCCTAGCAATCTACCTCAAAAAGATTTCGAGCGGCGGGGATCAGCAATTCGCCCGCGTGCGGGTGAACCAGTTCGCCAAAGTCCAGGAACGGGGAAACAAGCAGACGCTCTACGTGCGGCAGACGTTCAACGGCGTCGCGGACGCGGAGGGCGTGTTCCCGCAGCACATTATCCAACTCCGAAAGGGTCCGCCGCGGGACCAGTACTCGGTGCTGAATCTGGTGCACTCCAAGGAGGCCGACAGAGGGGACCGGCCGGCGGCGTGCACGTCGAGCAGAGGCTCCGGAAGGGACTTGATCCACACAGCGACGGGGAATACGATTGCTTTCCGCATCCCGAAGGCGGCGGGTCAGCTCGCTGGGGCAGTCACGTTCGCGCGGACAGACGGATCCCGGCTGCTCATCATGTTCGGGTCCACGGACGGCATCCGAGCCGGGTTCCACGCCCGCGAGCTACCGCCTCGTTTCCCGGGCATGAACCAGAGTCAGAACCAGAACCAGAACCAGGCAAAAACGAGCTCATCAAAAGCAAAGGAGAACCAACAACAAGAACCGCCAGAAGTCACCTTCTCATTCGACGACTTGCAAACGATGTTCCGGCCAACCCCAGCAGGCATCGACGTCGAGCTGGAGCGGTTCCGGGTGCGCGTTGACGTGGAGACGGTGATTGCGAACGCGAGCAAGTACCTCATGGCCGACGTACTCATCGAGCCCGTCAACCGGCCGTGGGACCCGTTCGAACCGCTGGACGCGGCTCTCGGGTGGTATGAGGGGGTGACGGGGCGGCAGAATCGGGGGCAGGCTGCTGCTGCTCAAGCGGCGACGGCGCAAGCGGCGGCGACTAATAGTACTAGTGGGAAAACGAAGAGACCTTCTGGGTGGAGGAGGTTGATTTCGTGAGTTGGATCTGGCCTCGATGAGATTGCTCTTTGCGATGAGCTGGGAGGCTCAAGAGGATATACGAGGAATGGAAAGAGGCACATGAACCAAGGGAGATACCACATGGCTATATAAGACATCGGCGTTTAAGGTACAAATATCAGCATTAAACAAATGTCGACAACTTGAATAGGTTAACATACACGCTTTAGTATCATAAGATCCGGCATCGGCAGTTAACATCAGTATGGAATGTCAAGATAGGAAAACCTATCTCCTTCCCTCTGCTTCAATGGCACATGCGCAAGGCATCGACAATTCACACTCAACAGTTTCTTGTCCTCCCCAAGATTTCTTACCATGACTACTATCTTCGCGTGCCGGCAGCAACGGCTCACGACTGCTGAAGATGGCAGAAAGGTCGAGGTTATGTGCACTTGCTGACATTGCGCTTGGGTTGCTGACATTGGACTTGCTGACATTGCGCGTGGCTGGGCCGCGTCTGGCGTAGCATTTCGGGGCCTCGCCGTTTCTATTCTAAAGTATGGAAGGGATAAGAACTAAACTTGACCATGCTGGATAAATAAAGAGGGAATCCTGGGAAACACCTGCGTGAGCTTGGTGGTGAGATCGTTATCGCAGGTACGGGGTGACTTTCGTCGACTCATACCATCACGTGATCCTGAATGACTCACCAATACACCACTCTACTCTTCTTAGGTAATCAAGCATAAATGGGAACTCCCTCCGATACGGAGCAGCTCTTAGCTAACTTTTTTGAAGTTACTCAATTCAACCCCTCTAGATACCCCATATACCCCCGCCAGATACGATCACAGTCATCATGGCATCCGGAAAGACACCTGCAGAGAACATGCTTTGGGGCGGCCGCTTCACAGGTTGGTTTTTTTGTTTCCCAAAAGTTCAATTGGCAAGTTCAATTGCAGTTTGCTAACCTCAGAAATGGACAGGCGGCCTCGATCCCCTCATGCTCAAGTACAATGCGAGTATAGGATACGACAAGCTCCTGTTCAAGGAGGACATCCTCGGCAGCATTGCATTCGCGCGCGCCAACGCAAAGTCCGGCATCATCACCAACGACGAGTTCACCGAAATCGAGAGAGGACTCCGGGAGGTGCAGAAGGAGTGGGAGGCTGACACCTTTGTCATCATGCCCAATGACGAAGATATCCACACTGCCAACGAGCGCAGGCTCGGCGAGATTATCGGCAAGGACATTGCCGGCAAGCTGCACACGGGTCGCAGTCGCAATGAGCAGGTGGCCTGCGACATGCGTCTGTGGCTGAACAACCAGATCAAGGAGATTGAGAGCCACCTGGTTGCCTTCATTGAGGTGATTGCCGCCCGCGCCGAGGCCGAGGTGTAAGTCTGATTAATCCCTCCCAATCTAGTGACCTTCCTGACCTTAATTGATAGTGGCATTCTTATGCCTGGATACACCCATCTCCAGCGTGCCATGCCCGTTCGGTGGTCGCAGCATCTGCTGTCATATGGCTTCGCCTTTCAGAGTGATCTCGACCGTCTGCGCGAGGTTTCCAAGCGCGTGAACAGGAGCCCGCTCGGTGCCGGTGCTCTTGCCGGCAACGGCTTCAACATCGATCGCGATATGATGGCTGAGGAGCTTGGCTTCACAGGCCTTCTGTGGAACTCCATGGGCGCCGTTGGCGACAGAGATTTCGTCACTGAGTTCCTGCAATGGGGTAGCATGTTCATGCAACATACTTCTCGGTGGGCCGAGGATCTCATCCTGTACTCCTCTTCAGAGTTCGGCTTCATTTCCATCGCCGATGCGTACTCCACTGGAAGTTCGTTGATGCCGAACAAGAAGAACCCCGATGGCTTGGAGCTGTTGCGCGGAAAGGCCGGCCGAACATTCGGTCACATGGCCGGCCTGATGATGACCCAGAAGGGTCTCCCCAGCACATACCAAAAGGACTTGCAGGAGAGTTGGGAACCCATGTTGGATCACGTCAAGACCATCTCTGATAGTCTTCAGATTGCACAGGGTATTCTCGTCACTCTGACCGTCAGGCCGGAGCGGATGAAGGCTGCCCTGGACCCCTTTATGCTGGCTACCGATCTTGCTGATTATCTCGTACGAAAGGGTGTCCCCTTCCGCGAGACGCACCACATCTCTGGGCGATGCGTTGCCGAGAGCGAGAAGCGAGGTATCCCGATGAACGAGCTCTCGCTAGAGCAACTACAGGCTATTGACAGCCGATTTGGGGAGGATGTCGCGCAGACGTTTGACTACGAGAGGAGCGTCGAGATGCGAGCATCCAAGGGTGGTACGAGCCGGGCAAAGGTTCTGGAGCAGGTCCAGGTTCTTAAGGGCATGCTGGCATAGAGAGGAGATGTTTGATAGCTGAGAGACTCAGAAAGGGCAGTTTATTTGGGGATTCAAAAGGCGTACTGGTAGAAAGGTGATAGATTCCGAAATAGACCGTCGGAGGGACTAGGAGGCCGAGGGTGGTCTGAGGTAATGCTCACTGAGCAAGCGTGATCTCAAGGGGCAGCGACAAGAAAAGAAATTCAATAAAATTACATACTTATCAAACAAGCACACTATTCAAGCATTCACCAATCGTTGCTGAACGCTGATTGTTTTGAGATAGAGGCCAAGATCTCAGTATCATAGAGTAGTCTCTCTCTCTTCCTCGTCCAGGTTCACAGTCAACCTCAATGGCTACAAGATGAGAAAACTAAGTAGACGCAACCTTTGCCCAGGTCTTGTGGTAAACTACCTGCCAACTAGCCCAAGGTAAGTGATAGCGTACTTGGTAAAGCATAGACGAAGAAAAAGAACCCGACCCACACAACCACTCACTGACCGCCGTTTCCCACGGTCCCTCTTCCCCGCCCCTCCTTCCGGCCCCAGAACCCGGCCGGGTGGCTTCCCCCCCCCCCTCCCCGTCCTCTGCGCAGCGTAGCGCCGTAGCCCTCCCTCACAGGCTCACAGGCTCACTGCTATGCGTGAGAATCCCAATCGGTTCCAATCGGGTAGAAAATGTCGGGGTGGAAATGAGAAAGTCGGCTCAAAAACTCGCAACTCTTCAGTTTTGTGAGGCGTCCTGGGGAGTTTTGCATCGCTCCGTCACCAAGGTTTCGTAGCAACGAAAAAGTGCACCAAAAACGCGAAGCTACCCGTGGAGGAAGACTCGCACTCCTAGTCTTTTCCCTTCACCCTTTTGGAAGTCAAGTACCATACCTGAAGTAATATAAGCGGATGCGCTTGCTGACTCTTACCTACTCACCCATCATTCAATTCTTTACACATGCAATTCGCAGACACATAGACACCGCAAGGCAGGAAGGAAGGGGGGAACACGTGCAAATCCCCATCCCGTCTCGTTAATTCGGCCGGCGAATCGGGCCCCTCCGCCTCAAAATCACCCGGAGACTCGACCCGGATCCCCACTTTCTTCCTCCCCGAACCCAATGACAAAGGGAAAAAGTACCCGCCCCGACCGTACCTTAACTTGAATCCTCTGTCTCCCTCTGTGCTCCGTATCTTACTCTCATAAAGGTAGACAGAGATTGATCCAATAGAAACCTCGCTGCTCACCGAAAAATAAGAGGCAAAAGTGATGTCGCCTCCCGAACACGCGCTGGCTGCTCAAACTCATTCGCCCAAGGGCCCAGACCGTACGGTTCTTGGACCCCCGTTCTCCGCTCCCCCGTTTTCTCATCGTGGATTTGATGATTCCCAAAGCCCCCCCCCCCCCTTCCCGGACCCTTTCCCACCCCCCCAAGCATCCGCGCCATCTTCCAACCCAGCGCCAGCCCAGCCCAAGGTAGGGTAGTGTAGCCTTCCACTCGTAGGTCGCCCCGTCCCTCTCATCCCGCTGATCCGCTGCACGTCATCACCCATCGCTCCCGATATCATCGCCATCATCAAAGACACCGCCTTGGGAACGGTAGGCATGAGTCCCGGCCCATAATGGAAGATGAAAGCTTCGCCTCCCCCCGCCCGCGGCAGAAATGCCTCCCTGCCAACTGCGTTGGCCTGGTGCGGCTCGTGACTTGTGATGGTGGGCGTGTTGCCGTCAAGGTCGGCGAGCGGTTGCCACGGGTAAAATTTAGCAAGCACTCTAGTCTAGCAGTTGACATGTTGAAATGGCTTGGAACACTGGCACGTTGGCCCGGAGTTGTAATAAGTAGATGGCGCAAGTAAACATTTCATTAGAGCTGTGAGGCTCTTCTATGGAAACCCAATCTATCATAGGAAATGAAAAACAGACACACACACAAAATCATCCTTCACCCGTGCTGCTCCGTAACAGAAATGGAAAGAACAAAATGCTGGTCATCAATCCATCATCGTCATCAATCTATGCCATCATCCTTGTATGCTCGTCGTGAAACATCAGTGTGCGCCGATTAGAGGCCTCATGCTGCGGCGAAGAGACGAGGCCAGACGCTATATATCGTTGTGGTTGGTATTCATGGTTGTTGTAAAAACGTATAATGAGTGCCTTGAAATCGACAGGCAAACATGGCCCGCTCATGGGCTAGGACTGGGACTGGGACTCTCGTACTCCATAATCTCGATGGAATAGTAGGGAAGCTCTCGCGCCAGCGTGCCGCTATCGCAAAAGATAAAAGTGCCTTCAACCTCACTCTCGGGCTCCTCGACTTCGTCGATACGAGGCGGAGGTGGGTCTTGGAATAGGATAAAGCTGTGTCTGTGGCTATCTCCGTAGCGTCGCCGGAGTCTGCGGGCGCTGGAGCCAACATCGTCTGCGTCGAGGGGTGTCATATCTTCGTGGTCAGAGTCGCTACGCTCTGATATGGTGCGCTTGCCAATGCTAGATCCGTGGGACCGCCGCTTGCGCATCTTCAGCTCCCGTTGCATGCGCACAAACTCGCGGTGAGCCTCATCGGCATCCAGGTCGTTATCCGAACCTTCAGAGCTGGATCCATCAAATCCGAGATTTCTCATCTCCTGCGTGAAGCCAGGAGGGAGCCCTTTAGGCGGTGGTGCCCGTGATCGAGAGCGAGCAGAGGATGGGGAGGAGAAGCCGGAGGGGGCAATGGTGCCACTGCGGTCTTGATCCATTGGGTCAAAGTCGGAAAGCTCTTCCAGCGTGAAATTCGCCTTTACAGTTGAAGTGGTGGTAGCGGTGATAATGTGTGTTGCCTGGGGAACCTCTTGGATAGGAGGGGTAGCCAAAGACTCTGCTTCCGAATCAGAGTCGGACTCCTCGTCTTCGTCTTCATCTTCTTCCTCCTCATCTGATTCCTCTCCGGAACTGCTGTCAACGGCCATACGAGAGGCCGGCGTGGGCACAGGCCTCGGAGCGAACATGGAGGCGGATACGGATGCTGGCATCGGGGCCGGCATTGGAGCCGGGGCCGGAGGAGCAAAGCGCATAGGCGTATCATCGTCTGAGTCTTCCGATTCTTCGTCGTCTGAATCTTCATCGTCGTCTTCATCATCGCTGTCTTCATCTTCGTCGTCGTCGTCGTCTTCGTCGTCATTGGCCTTAGGTCTTACGTGGGATACCTGGCGTTGTTCAGATTCGGGTTCGGATTCGGATTCCTCCTCTTCATCAGACTCAGAGGAGTCTTCCGAGGAAGTGCGCGGTGACAACTCAGCGAAGCGATTAGAGGGCGTAAAGCTGAATTCGTGGCCATTGCCAGTAGGCTGAATGCTGGAGTCATCCAGTATGATTTGGTGATGCCATTGCGGCAAGTGTCGTGCAGCGAACTTGCGGTTCGCCATTGGCACGGTGGTGGCAGGGGTATGAGGCGGTGAGTTTGGACCTCCAAGAGGGCCCAGCATCATGCTGGGCGTCGCCGGCCGCGACTTGCGAGGCATGCTCAATGGCGCCTGCGATATGGCAATTGAGGTGCTGCCTCCCTGATGCGCCTCAAGGGCCGATTTTCTGATCTGTAGCTCTAGCCTTCTTTGTGTGTTGGTGATTTATCGATCGTGTCTTTGTTGCAGGACTCGGATTTTTTTCTTCCGCCTCTCTCGATCTTGCGGGGAAGATAAAGTTGAGCGGGCAAATGAGATCAGATCAGCTCCAGCGAGCGACAGCCAGTAGATAGGCTTGGTTATGTGATTGGTTCCGATGAAGGTGGTATATCAAGCGAAGTAGCAAAAGTCAAGGCGTCAACACCCAGAGTAAGAACCTCCGACAAGGAGAAGAGGATATTCGGCTGAAGCTGTAGGTTGTCATGATAGATCTGGCGGGAAATGCTTGAGATTGAGCGAAAGCGCGCGGGAGGAAGCGGACCAGTTCGAATGCACTCAAGGAGCAACACAAGCCAGGGTCTCTTCTAGGAATGAAAGCACAGTTCAGGTCACTGGCAAGTGACGGAAAGTCCCCAACGTTCGTTCTCTTTCGAACGAGAAATCGGGGTTTCCAAGCAGCTGGGTGTCACTGACCCGACACTGACAAGAGAGACAGTGGGGAGGAATGTTTCGGGGGAGACACCGTGGGATGTGCGGGATCCCGGGTGTGGGGTCGACGAAAATCGGGCGGGCGGTGACGATAGGACCACGGGCTTTGTCCAGGGTGACCAGGGACTGCCTTGTTGAGGGGCTGCGGGTGGCAGCACGAAATGGCTGACTGAGAAGAAGAAAGGCGGTGGTGCAATGCGCACGCGAGCAGGAATAGTACCAGTAAGGTGACTTCGGCTGCTGGCCTGGGGGAATGTATTGGACGGAAGAGATTTGGGGAAAGTCGAAGACAAGCGTGGGGGACCTGGGTCAAAAAGAGAAGCTCAGGAATTTGTCGGACAAGAGGTGCGTGGGATGTGAATACCGTAGAAGAACACCAGAGGAACGACAACAACAGATTGCCGGAGCCAGCAATTCCGGGTCTGAATCCGAATCTGAGTCTGGCTGGGTTTGTTGTGATGCGTTGTCGTCTCAAGTGGAATGGCAAGCCAAAGGGACGGACTGCCGATTGTATGATTCCTCGCTGGATTCTGAAATGTGAATATCCGAGCTGTCGGCAGTAGTGGTGGTGGTGAGCAAGTCTCACGGTGCTGCTTGAATCAACCGTCTAAATGTGTACTAAATGACTCCCGTGATAGGCCGAGAGCGGGTCGTTGGCACGGCCAGACAGTCCCGGTCTTATAGGTGTGGCTGATATAATGCTTGAATTCCCACCGATCGACCCTTTGCGCTGACTAGCAGAGGGGATGGGAATCGAACGTGATATGACGGCCAGACGGTTGATGGTCGAGCGAAAGGTAGACCCAAGTCAACTACAAGAAGAGAAGAGGGGAGAGGGAAAAACAGAAAAAAAGATTTTCTAATAGTGTGTGGGATGGGGAGAGAATTAAGAATTAAAAGAAGTCATTGCACATGTGCGCTGCAGCTCTGCGGCATGCCCATGCCCATGCCATTCCATGCAGCAAAGAAACTCCATCCCTTGGTCACCTAAGGTAAGGTAAGGTAAGATAGAGGAAGAGGGAGAGCCTCTTCTCGCCCACTTGCTGCAAGTTGCAACTGGTGCTGCTAGAGCCGTGTGGGTGCCTCCCAGCTGCTTTACTGCGGTGTAATCTCATTGCTGGCGCGAGTGCTTCTGCGAAAGACCCCATAGTGCCGCTGCTGGATACTGTAACCCTCGTGAAGTTCTTCCTATCAGAAGTAAGAGTCTTGTCCAGCCAGTGGTTGGGGTTGGTTGCGGTCCCTCTTTTGCGCATTCTCGCGGGGCGCAAAGTTGGACTTTGGGCAGCAATGCTCCAGGACTCCCCCGGTCTAACCGTGTCTCCCGCAGCGGCGTCGAGAGAATTTCATGTGTGTGTGCTCGCGCGTTTGCGGATACCGCAGCGGCGTACGGGCTGACTGGACCGGGGCCGCCATGGCTTGACTGGTTGCTCGGCTGGAATAGGCTGGATTGGAGGTTATGAACGGTATCAAGCGAAGGAGGACGTCCAATCCGCGAGAGTTGAGAGGGCGTGATGCGAAGGAGGGGTAATGGAGGGGTGTGGCTGTGGATAGACGCCAGATCGCCGACTATTGGCGATTCTTGGTCGGCCTCTTTTTTCTTAGTCGGAGCCCTATTTGGCCTGTCAAGCCTTTCCCCCACAGCCTGTTGGATAATGCTTCATGCTTTGGTGGGTTTCCGGTCTGGGTCTAGAGTCTAGACTGATTATTGTCCTTGCCGTTGACTGTGTCTGCTGCTTGCGAAGCTGAATACTCAATTCAAGGTCCGTTCTGTGGCGCACTATGGAAGTCTGACACCGTGAGAGGGCATGTTTCGTCAACATCCACGGGACATGATGCTGTCCCTTGTCGAGACGCTGCTGCGGTGTCTCTCAGAGACTGGCTGATGAAATCGACCGGTAAGGCTACATGCCTTTCGCTGGAGACAATAGCAGGGTATTGAGCGTCAGTAGGCTTTAGCCAGAGGTACCCGTCTAGAAGCAGAACGAGACCTGATAGGCGTGGGAAAATTCATAAGACTGCCGTGAACGATTAGAAGATTTCAAGAATCAGAAGTGGGATGGCTGTGTGGCAGCACTTGAGCCCAATCATTGAGGGTCGAGAATGCCTAGACTAAGGGCATTTTCAACGGCTTGCAGTCTTTCTGCAGCATGGCGCCACGACAAGTTCCCTCTTCCTCGAGCCACCGCGGAGCTGCAGCAAAGAGCCTAAGAGCCTCAAGGACTACGTGTGAGACACCAAAAGAAGAGAGAAAAGAAAACAAAAAATTAAAAAATTGGCGGGATTGATTGACTGAGAGGAATGATTGCTTGTGTATTCGCAGGTAGTCTGAGCCTCTGTGAGGTGTAATGGAGGGATGGATGTGACGAGGGGCAGGATGCATCATGCTCGTGGCCGGGTCAGATTTGTGGAGAGGAAGTAAAAGAAGGCGGTCAGAATGCACACGCCCGCCGCCCTTGGACTGTGAGCTCAGAGCTGTAGACGGAAGGACCAGAAACGAAAAATGACAGGAGCAAGATGTAAGAGCGAGAGCAGAAGCGGCCACCACAGTCATCAGCGCCTTCCTGCTTCTTTCCGTCTCCTTCCAATTCCATGGTAACACAACAACCATATGTCGCAGGGTGGGAAGGTGGGAAGGTGCCGCCGTAACTGGAAGCCGCGACTTGCAAATTACAATTTCATTGCCTGCGGTGAATTTCTAGAAGGTAAGCCAACACGGCCAACCTAAGTGCATGGAACGGCAACTTTGCGTCAGGCCTCGACGTTGTGTCACTCATATCTCGTTCAAAACGGCACTTGCTCCCAGCTCTTGGGTTGTGTTACTCAAGACCAGCCTGCCACCCTGCCCGCCTCATTGGGAATATTATCACCAACGAAGCCAGCCACCTGGCACTACCACCATCCACCACTGTAGCCATCTCGGAACGCCTGCGCGAATCACTAAATTCTTGCAGTTGGGTTTTACCAGCACTACACAGTAAGGTAGACAACAGCACCCTTGAAGAGACTGGGATGCATGGGTGGGCACTGGGCAGTACCTAGACTGCCCGGCCTGGCTCCCTGCAGCCCAACGCTGACGGACCCTCTTCTTAGCCTTTCTCCCATTCCTTGCTGGACGAGAAGATCCCTCATTTCAAGCGGCAAGGCCCGATTACCTTACACAGGATTTGTTTACTTCGCTGACAACAGCCGGTTCTTTCTTACCCAGTAGTCTTCTTGCTACTCGGCTCTGTGAGTGTTGAGAAACGAGGAATCAAGTAGACTATGTATCTCACCATTCTATTGGTGAGATGATATACCCTAAAGACTCTCAATGTCCAGACTGATCCCCAAGTTCCTCGAGGGTTTTCTTCCAGGCGCACGAAAAGGGCATCGTCGTCCTTCCTTCCGCGTTAGGGCATGACCCCCCTTCTTCCCACCTCTTCGTCCATGCACTGCATCGTCAACTTGCGCAAGTGTGCATTTGGGAGTTCGCGCCAGAGTGGACAACCCAACGCCTCAAAGGCCCCCGTTCATCTGCAGGTCCGACGGGCCTTTCCCGCAGGAAGACCGACCTGAGGGCAACTCCACGTGTGGCCGTCGATGGTGGGCTGGTGTTGGGGTGTGTGAGGGGCCCATGTCTTGTTCGAGAAGCCTGCTTTTTGTGGAAGGACAAGGGATTTTTAACTTGCTAATCGAGGCTCTGCGATTCTGCAATCGAGGTGGTGTCTATTGGGTCCCAGCGAAGCTGAGGGAAACTGCAATTTGCATCCATGGGACAAGAATGAGGTCTGATGGTGATACTAACATTATGAGATTCGGGAAGGACAATTTCTCGTCAGCAAACCATTTGCCTCCATCGGCCTGCTTAATTTAGGTAGAATTTTGCTAGATACAGCTTTTCAAAAACTTTGAACTGGGCTGGGTGACTTTACGAGGCAGGCGGAGAGCTCTCTAACAGATCTTCAGAGCGAGATATTCTCTCTGTTGATAGGCACATGCATAGTACTTACCGTAGCCGCGCACTTCCAAGTGACTCTTTTCGTGCTCAAATTATCTACTTGAAGTAATTCAGCCATCACACGGACAGCAAGATTCACAAAAAAAAAAAAAAAAAAAAAAAAAAAAGGTTTCCCTCGCGACCTTGATGATATTCTCAACATCCAATCATTTTGTAACAACCCTGTCGGAAGCTCTCTAGGTCGATCAGGTTTGTCATGAGGTAGCTGGTGTTGGTCGAGGCTCCTGCCACCTGCTTGAGGCTTGAGCTCCAAAGCCAGAGCGCGTCAAGTCAATATCCAATCATTGCTCCCCTCATAGCCCCACACGGAACTTTCCAGGAACGCGTGCTGCGACGCAACTACACTTCTTAGCCATCCGTCGGAAGCATTAACGCTCTCTTGGACTACACATCTTCCGTCGCCAACAGGGTGTAG